TATGGTATTTTAAAAAAGAATATGATATAAGAAACTAATAGATACAATTTAGGTAATGATTACCTTAAATCGTTTCTTTTAACACTATGTTATAAAAATAATCATAACAAATTAATTTATGTTTAAAAAAAAGTTAAACATGTATAATAATAAAGTAAACTAATGTAAAAATGTATAGTAAAGAAGAAATATAGCATAAAATATCTCCTATGTCATCGTAGCATCGTAATGTATTCAAGTTGAAACCGGCATGTGTATGTAAGTACATCGTCTGGTAATAGCTCATAGCGACCCCGATTAAAAAAGCAGCCGTAAAGGCGAACATTAATATGCGGGAACTTCTTAGTGAAAAACTGGGAACTCATAGATTTAAGATAAAATCAAATGTTTGTTCTGAGTTCGCGTATACTGATCTTCTCTGCATGGTTTCGAGATGGCACGGAAACCAACTCGCTTTTTCCCTTTATCTCGATCTCTCAATCACTCGAATAGTATTTATACATAGATATTTCGCTTCTCAGAAACAAAAGAGCGAAAAAGATTTGAGCAATCTTTAAATTTCATAGTGTGTAATACTCGCGTCGATTATAATCGTTTTTTCTTCAGATTTGGCTATATGCCTCCCACGTGTATTTTCTGTAACCCATAATTTAAACACCAGCAAAATTCTCGTATTCTTAGAAAATTCGCGTATATATAGGAATATAGAAAGAATTTCCGAACATGCCTAGGAAAGGGAGTTTTAAAATCAAACCTGTGAAAAATTACATTGATCGTTACCAGAATGAAGTTTTCAAAAATTTTTGTTTTTTCTTATCTAATGGAGAAAAAACATACTTATATTAGATACAACCGTATAGTACAGGTAGCGAAAAAACTCGTTCTCGTTATGCGTGAAAAATGAAGAAACAGATAAACTGTGGATTCTTTTCCTTTTTGTAAGAAAATATCATCAAGTCGTCGTTCAAACATATTGAATGAAGATAAGTCAAGAATTAACTTTTCGACCTGATTTCGAAATAACTTGAACACAACATGTTCAACATGGTTGAAAAAAGAGAAAGGAACCCTTAAATCATTGTCGCCAAAGTCAAAAACAACGTTAGCTATATCTATCATCAGGATTTACGCATGTATGTAGATTGAACCAAGTGAATAAAAATACGCGCCATCTTAGAAACCCTTTCAAAATGTTATAGATTTTAATAGTTTAGTAGTTTTTTAATACGAAGAAAAGGAGACCCATTCCAATAATTGTACTTCATCATAGATATACTCACTTTTCTCTTCTCAATCCATATCTATAAAGAGACCTCTTAAGTTTGCCGATGATTACTTACCTAATCTAATTAATATCGTTATTTCATAATGTAAAACCAACTTGTCATTCTGTCAAAAAAGTGTTTTCTCATGATAGGAAATCGAGTTTGTCATACATGTTATTTAAGAAAAATAAACATTCCGTTCATTCTGTCATGATGCGAAAAGTATGAGGGCTCCATTATCACGAGCGCTTTCTCTTGGAATTAGAACAATGAGCGTGTACTCGAATTGATCGCTGGAAATTCTCATTAACTACTTGGCTCGTCGTACCGCCATTTCGATCCTACCGGAGCATAAACCATAACGTAAATTGTAAAGGAATCTTTGTCGTTCCAAATCGAAAATTTGTCGATCCTAGTTTTTCGATTCTAAAAAAAACGAATAGTTGCTCGTTTCTGCGAAAAATGAGGCGACCCGGATACGGTTTTAACTGATCTAACCAACGAGAAAGAAAGAGAAAAAGTAAGATTTCAAAAACATTTTAAATCGGACCGAATCAGCGAGCGTACAAAATACCATGTAAAACGTAGAGGCAAAGACGAAACGAAGACAAAGAAGTGTCACATGAGTCATCCGATAGGATTTGCTTAGCAGCAACATGTTGAATCAGCTTTCTCCGCATTCGAGGAACGCGAAAATGAGATAAAAATCGTAAAGAGACCTTATCGATGAGACCTTCTCTATCTCGATCTCGTTCGACCTCTTTCTTAACCGAAACTTCCCACGATTCTACAAGGCCCCAGCAATATAAAATTGTCGCCTTTTATAATTAGATGGAAATCATTCCTTATATCGATTGATATCACGCATTTTAATCTCACAATCATGCGAGGCCAATGGTTTCGTTTCTCACGTATATTTCAGATATTAACGTATATCTATGATAGCTAATTAATTGAAATAGCTATGTTTACTGTTCATTTTAAAATAATGTAAACAATTGTAAGGTACGAAATTAGTAAAGAATGTATTTAAGATATAATGAAAGAGGCAAATGAAACGAAACGGTTATCGGTCTGCAGAATGTAGCACATCGTGAAAGTTTTCCAACGTCTCGTAGAAATACTGAAGATGGTTGATGATAGAAAAAAGAAAAAGAGAGAAAGAGAGACAAATAGATAAAAGAAAGAGATAAGAATTCTTCACGATTCTGCAAATTCTAACTTTGATGGCTTCTCTGACTCGCGATTAATGATTTTTGGTCTACTGCTAGAGTGCTTAAAATAATTATATATAATCACAAATATTATATATCAACAATGACGGATTTATGCTTGCATAGGCCGTGAAGGCGGTTATTTCATAAGACAGGAGGCACTCGCAGGACTATATAAATTTATATTATATAATAAATTTAATTTAATATCCGGTGACCGGTATATGATTTTTATTTCTATATCTACGATTATAATCGAATTCGAGTAGTATATTTATCATGTTATCATTTACATAAACAATTATAATGAGAAAATATATATTATGTATAATTGATTTATTTTAATGGAATCCTAAAAATTTGTAAAAACTCAGATCTGACGACTAAATCCGGCAGTGCATATCAAATCAATCGAATTTATTTACGTTGCTATTAGTATCTTATATTAAGACTGAAAATTTTCATTATTGTGATTTCATTAATAAAAGTATAGTCTAAATAAACTAGAAATGCGGAAATCATTTCTAGATTCGCCTAATTTACCTTCACACGAAGCTTCTCGACGATCTTATGAGCTCCATCGTTCAGATGGTGAAAGCGAAAATGGAAATTGCATCGATAATGTCTAACTTAATAATTATGAGAAAGAACCTTAAAGAATAGTATTTGTCACAACTCGATTGATATAAATCTTTTTTTCTTTAATAATCCTTGAATTTCTAAAAACGGAAAACATACATCTTCCTGTTGTAAAAAAATGATAAAAGAATATAACAAATTTAGGTTATCTTTCGACATAAGATCAATTTCACACAAACATCCACTCGTTTTGATTCGATCGGTAAAAAATGACACTTGAATAATGCTTCTATAGTTCATAACAGGAATTACTTGCCGAAAAAATATTATGCTGGCCATATAATCAAAGAAATGAGGATCATACCGTATGCGAAACAATGATAATAACGTCTTTATCGACATCTCGTTATTGATACTGTGATCGCTTGTTAAGTTATAAAAAATACCGATTTAGTTATTAATTTTCATATTATCGAATCATCGTAAGTTTGTACATACTGTAAATTTCTTTTAAAGATTATATCCTACCTTATTTAAACGTAACTACCTAATGGGTTGCACTATCATACAATTTTTCCTAATCATTTATCTGCGCCTGAGTTCTTTTTAAAATCGTAATTTGCATGGAAGAAACTACACAAGTTACGTGCGTGTGTGTCATGTGCGTGCATGAAGAAATCAGTCACAATTTGCCATCTAGCGACAATTTTAAAGAAATACATACTACATTATTGGTATTACCTTAAAGACAGATAACAATATTATCGGTATCCATACTAATTGTCGTCGTGCCTCAGTTACAAGTAAATTAAAACTTGTCAGAAAATATCAAGATGGCAGTACTGTACATAAATTTGGAAAGTCGTATTTGGAATTTATCGAACTTTTCATCCTAATCTGTTCGAATGTTAATTATTAAAGCTGAAAAGACCCTGCCTAACATGTAACAATGTGGTTGGAATTTGTGCCTAACGGCAGGATGGATGATATCACTACAATTGCAAACAAGATATAAAAAATTAAAAAAAAAACTGCAATTAATTTGAAACTATGAAAATGTTTAAAACCATCGTGATAAGAAACACAATAGTATTCATTTCTGTTTTTTTCTTTTTAATCTTTTTAATGCACACATAATTCTATCACTGTTTATTGTATAATTATAGCAAATCCATAGTATAACTGTGTAATAACATATGTAAAAGAAAGAAGTATGATAATGTAAGATGAACTAAATTTTATGATTCTAATATCTGTTATTCCATATTATCTATCGTCGGGAAAAACAACAAATATAATAATAATAATAATAATAACATAACAATAACAGTAATATATATATATATACTGAAAGATTTTATCATTATGAAAAGAAATATAGTCGCTAGATCAACTTCGGAAAAGCGTAACAAAACCCCGCACGTAACTTTCATAATACTGTAGAAGTGCATTATATCTTGAGTAACGTGTTCATCAAAAGTTAAAGCTACTAAAGGGAATATGCGTAATTGCTTTAATAATATATGCTCGTAATGACTAGGAACAATATATGACAAGACCTCATTCCTATTGTATTCTTTTCATTTTCAATATTAGTATTAATAATAATAACAATACAATTAACATTATAAGAATTCCTTACGCTAATATACAACTATTTAATCTTACATAAATAAATATAGAACATTGACAGTATGTGTAGATATTCGTATATATATTTGGAGATTGTAAAAATTTTCCTTACCTACATTCAATCTGCGCTGCACGCATACTTAACACCTACATAATAAAAACGAAACATTTCGATTTGATAATTATTGCGCAAGTACATTTAGAACCCGTAAAATACAGCCCTGCGTTTAAGATCACACATCTATATATATATATATATATATACTTGAAATGTAAACGACAAAGTATTCGTGACGACTGAAAAGCACTGAAGTAACTTTGTAGGTGTGTGATTAGCATGACACACGCATGTGTACGGAAGTGTAGGCGTATTCTCATCAGGTGCAAATCGTGCATTTTCGTAACTGTTCGGCACTCGTTCAACGTTCTTCGGCGCTCGCTCACATCGCGTTCAGTGGCGTTCAGTGGCGTTCAGTGGCATTCAGTATTGCACGGCGTTTGGTTATGCGTAGCGTTACTTTGGTGTCTATAGTATTGTGTACAGTCGACTTTCCAACGTGTACTTCAAAAAAACAAAGTCGTCGAGAAATTTACATTTTTTGTAAAGAAACATTTCTTGAATAATTTTCATTACCAAACTTCGAATTTATTAAAAATGGTGATTTTTTCATGATTCAATCAGCGATACGTATCAATCGTCTTTGTATGAAGGAAAAGAGAGGTCATCGTTGCATTCGTCTTTGCGTTCATTCGTTCGGTAAGTATAACTTCCGAGTTTGTTCGTCGTCACAGAAAGAGGGGGGAAAGGAAAAGGAGAAAAAGAGAGAGAGAGAGAGAGAGAGAGAGAGAGAGAGAGAGAGAGAGAGAAAGAGTGAATGGATGAGTGAGTGAGAGAGAAAGAACAAGAACGGGGACGACATGAAACAGCGTGTCTAATATTAGAAAGACCGTGTTAATTTTTTTGAAACACGCTCATCTGAACAAAAACGATGTACGACGTGCTTATTGCTGTCGTGTCGTCTTTTCTCGACGAGAGCAAAACGGCAACCAATAGGAAGTGGTCTTCCTTCGCGCCGTTATTTCTCCCTTCATGTTCCATTTCTGTTCATTTTATCTTTTCAAGTAGGAAAATGTTCGTAAAAATTATGCCTGAATTTCTTTAGGATTGGTACTTAGTGATCTACTGTATGAGATGAAAATGGCTCTTCGTTGTAGCATGATACAATCATATTTTTTACTTATCAGCTAAATATTAAATATTTATTAAATGTATTTTTCGTATTAGTGTAATTATATTTTTTCGTTTCTTGTTTGCTTGTTACTATTGCTATTGCTGTCATTGCCACATCATTCATTTTTTTGTCGATAAACTACTTTTTTAGATGATGCTAAAGAAAAGAAACAGTCATTCGTCGATCGATTAATCTAATTCTCTTTCACAATTCTTGGTCAAACAATAACACAAAGCTTTTACCCAACTCTTTTCGCAATTTTCTCAGTCTCTCACGATTTAAGTCAAATTACAGAAATAAGACAACGTTTATTTTTATTAACCGTTAATATTCCTCAAGGACGAATTATTGTAACTAAATATGTGCGTAAATTTTATTACGAACTCATAATAGTGAAAACAGTAAAAATGTGATAAAAGATCGAGAATTTTACGTTACAGTTATAAAGACTCTAATTTATTCGAACGTTGACCCGGCCGCCATATTGAATAGAAGTTAATGCACGTGACAAATAAAAAATCACTTCCTTTGGAACGTACTATATGTTACAAAAAGACGCACCTGAATATTCAGTGATAGAATATAAAATAAATAAACCAGGTATTCTTTTACAGAATAAGTATGATCAATGTAGTTCATGATAATGCCTAATATATTAAATATTCCTATAGGAATTGTACTTATTATAATTTAATTCTGTTACATATGCATATTTATATGAATTTTTTAATTATTAAAAATATCATCATTCTGAAACCAAAAGTCAGATCGAACCGAATTATTTGTCTACCTTCACTTGCAAATAATTTCATTTTTGGTATAAATTTCAAGTTAATTTATCTAGCATAAGGTTCGTACTTAAAAATGAGAATAATGATCGTTATCGAATTGGAAACTGAATAAAGAAATGCTAATTTAGGAAGATTCTAATTATAATCAATAATGTCACTGAATCGGTGAATGTGATCGAATGTGATGTCTTCAAAAATAGATAAATAGTCCTTGCTTGTAATTCGTAGTCGTATGTTTTCTTTCTTTTTTACAATCTGATTCGAAAAATTTGATCTCAATTGGAATTTCTTCGGCATATCGAATATTAAATCTTAATTTAAAATTTAACATTTGTGGATTTTGTTGTTATTCGTATAACCAACGACATATCGTAATTAAGTCAAAAACTTTTAAAGGATTATCTACCGATAGTGAATATCTATTGACCAAGTACCAAAGCCCAACACTGTTCGTGTTTTTAATATTAATCCGATAATCGTGGCTTATATTTTTCTACAATGGATTATTATTTATCCCATATAGTACTCACATACAAATGTAAATGGAAGCCTCTAAAATATTCTATATTCATATTTTGGCTATCTATGGTTACCTCTTATTACTTCTACATAGTAGGACTCATTCTTCCTGACCACCAAGAGAATGATTTGAAATTGTTATTAATAATCGCCAATTCTTCGTCATATCGAAACAACCTATACGGTATTAAATTATTTGTATTAATCTTTGTGCATGTCCGCGGAATCTCATCCTCCCGAAGTATGCTCTGAAACCAATAATTGTGTCTTTAATTCACATATTGCACAATCAAACCGCTCCACTCAGCGATCGAAAGATACATGAGTTCAATCCTCAATGAATTGTAAATATTAGCCGACTAAAAACAGGTTGTCAAACGAATCTATTGTATAAACAGTAAAATGAATACTCTTATTTAATCATAAGATATAATAATTTATAATTATAAGTTTATAATAATGAAAATCTTACTGTCTACAAAAATTGCTCAGTCAACATATTAACATTATCATTAAGGTCGAAAGTAATGTGAAAGCTGAAGCAATGCCATTTGAATTTCTCTCGTCTTGGACTTTGCTACGTTGGACAGACATTCAACGCATCAGAATGCTGATATGCATACATAAGTATGCATACGATTTACTTATTTATTCTATATTCTACACAAAGCAATCGCTCAATTCGTTTTATCGATGGCATAAATCGTAAATAGAAATTAATTAATTGATCGCTCACACGTTCGGGAGATTGACCTAATTAAATAATATTAAATAATATTAAATAATATTAAATAATATTATCTATCTTGCCGATAGGCCAATAATATTGTGTCTATACGGTCAATAGTCCAGTGGGAAAATCCTGGATTTACCATTTCAAATTGTGGAACGACAAATGTTCTCACGACCCCAGAAAAAGCGCGATTTATTTCAAATCATTTCTTTATCTTCATAATTGAACAAACTACAGATCTAAACGGTTTTTCTAATTTAACCGTAAGAGTGTGATACGATTGCACTACGTCGAAAAGTACCACTGCATCGGCCCAGGTATTCAATACAAATGATGGTGCATCTCTTGACACTTTTCATCATGAAAGCATCGCGCGATCTCGTTTGTTATTTTTTCAACGATTAATATGAGACGTTGAGCTATTACGCTACTGGACCTCCAATTCAAAGAACCATATGCTTTTCGACTACATACATCACTATCTCAGTTGCATCGATAACTCTTATAAATAAAATTTTATAAACATGAGATATAACAAATTCCTACCTACAGTTTCAAGAACTTCCTTTTCAGTATTTCGAAGCTAGTAGTCCCTAATTTATACTAGTTTTAATGCTAATGTCGATTGATTATATTTTTATTTTTTAATCATTTTGTTATGTATTTAGCACATTTAACGATTCATTAGTCATAATTGTTTTCTTTTTTTCCGAATCTTTTTCTCTATTTATAAAAGAGGAAACAAAATGAATCAAATCTCGACGAATCTCGAAGAATACGAAAGACTTCGTATTCGAAAAGATTAGCAATTATCGCGCAAGCTATACGCGATATTATATCGATAACGATATATGTACAAACAAAAAATATGAAACACGTGCTTGATCCACTTTAACTCTTTTAGTATGGTCGTATAGATTGATCATTGTCCATTGCGAAATAATATTATGATACGGCATTGGTTCTTTTCCAGTGAAAGACACATGTCTCAATCATATTTTGCTAAAAAGAAATAAAGTATAGTTCTACGTTAGCTTTTTTATCATTTAGAATTTTCCGATTCTTATTGATATATCACAAATACATATTATGCATATGTCATATATCGATAAGAATAAAAATAATATTGAACGTTACAACGATTATATTTACACATGCATACATACATTAATAATTGGGTTGCGCATAATGAGTTGAACAAGTGAATCGTTCGATTCTATTATTTGAAAAAATGAACATAAAATATATTCTCTTTATCGTAATCTTTAAAAGATCAAATAAGAAGCAAATATTAAGATTCTTTTTTGACTATTTTAATTCACATAAGATGAACATGTTGTTAATTTTACGAAAGAAAGAGAGAGATCCCGGCGAAGTAAAAATCGAGTGAGCGTTGTCCATTTGTTGCATGTTGATAAATATTATACGGATTACAAATCATAAGCATATTTTCGTTTGTCGTCAATATACATAGTTTTGCTTGGCGGTTCGAGAACGTTGTTATCGTAGTGTAAACTTGCTCGAGGTTAGGGATTAGTTTCGTACGAACTTTCACTCGTTTCTCGTGGAAAGTCGTAAGGTTATCCCGCATATGGATACTTTCAGGCGAGGTTGAGATATGAATTCAAATCATGCGTAGTTATTCGAATTGAAGCTCATTTTTTTATGCAATTCAAATGTTTATCTTTTATATGAACATTTCGAATGACCATTGAGATTAGAATGTTTGACGAAGAAGAGTAGTCAGTATCCTAATTTTGATCATATTTTGCGCCAACGAGAGCAAGATGTAATTATTATATGCAATGTTATGCAGTGCGTATTTGATTAATATATATGGATGTTAGCCACGTAGAGCGGCATGAGAGCATCGTATTTGATGTACACCCGGTATTACGTAACAGTTGATATGATCAGTGATGTCCATTATGTATCGTTCAACCGTGCTCTTTCGATAGTTTACAATTTCGAAAATATCATTTTTCATTGACAATTCAACTTTTCTTAGCACTTTTTGTAATGTTTTATAGTATATAATACAATTGGTTATTCATTTAAATATGCTAAATTATGTTTCAATTATGATTCTTACCTTTTCTTATATAACAGAACTATAGAAAAATACATGTCAGTTCGCATTAATAATATTTTATAATTGTTTTTTTATTTTGATCACGCTGAACGCGCCTTTTTTTCAGCACTTGCGCGTGTACACGCATGCGCGTATACGCGCATGTGCCTCAATTTATAACAAAGAAGAGAGGGAGAAGGCGCGTTGGTTGGACGATGAAGTCTCGACCAAAGTTCAAGCTGCGTTGTCTCGATCACGAAACTCTGTCTTTAATCATCGAACACAGCCTTGATAATACAGGTGTTATTGCGGAGATACGAGTTCCGTTTTCTTTAATATAAACAGGTATCATTTACGTACCTGTTATTAAATACTTTCAAACTTTAAAAAGCAACATCTTTGTTCCAACGTAACCACTGAAATATCATCGTATTCATTTGAAACATCGAATTTGCTTTCGTCTATATCCTTCTATCTTTCAAATCATAAAAAAAAAAATACAATAAAATGATAAAACGCAACGCGTAATAATATAGGAAACTATTTATGCATGACATTCTTGTTTACTAGTTTATTGTGCAATTTTCACAGCGCACACACACGCACGTATTCGCACACGCATATGTATACACGCGATTGTGTCCGCATGATAATTGCGACTTTAACTAAGGTCAACTGCTTCGTTTCCATCCACCCTGCATCTTCGTCCTCGATGCTGCAACTTCGCAATGGGCATTTGTCATGCAAAAATGCGAGCTTCCCTCAGTAATAGTTTTCGTCGACACCATGATGTCGATGAAATTTTCCGATGCATTTATACATTTTTTTTCTTTTAGGTACATAGAAAAGTAATACAAAAATGGCGGAAGCTCATTCAGCCGTCGCCTTCAGTTTTTCCATCACCCACGAAGGATGGGACGTGAACTTCGATCGAGAAGTGCTGAATCTCGTTTGGTTATCCGGTGTACGCTCCTGGAAGAAGAGATTCTTTAGATTTATGGTAAGCGGAAAAGAATGTGCGACAATCCGATAGTAACTAATTTACTTGTTTGTATTTTAGAATAACTTGAAAAGCGGTGTATATCCAGCATCTTTAGGAAGCCTCTGGCTTACCATAGGTATTGTTACTGCAATTCATTTCGCGGGCTACAAAGTTCCTTACGATCTCGTTGGAAAAGTTACACCATATCTTTCAGGGTAAGTTTAATAATTTGAATTCAAATTTCTTACTTTCGAGCAAAGTAATTAAAACAATAATAATTAGTTCGTTTACAAGTACCAACAAGGACCAACTTTTCCATTTTTAATCTTTTGTAGATCTTTAATACTCGCACATCTAGCTGGTTCGTTCATGATCGGACTTCTCTTGTGGTTGGTCGTTATATATATGTTACGATATTTACTGAAGCTGCTGTTGATCTACAAAGGCTGGATGTACGAATTAAGAGGCAAACAAAAAAAATTATCGAGAATGACACAGATATGGCTTCTTTTCGTAAAACTGCTGTCTGGTTGGCGCAAACCCATGCTTTACAGCTTTCAAGGTTCGCTGCCTCGTCTACCACTTCCTTCGGTAGAAGATACGATGAAACGGGTTAGATGTTTTTTTATTTTTGTATTATCCATAAATAAAAAAACACAAAAAAATAAAAAACGAAAGAGATGATCTCGAATTGATGATTCGACTAAAGAGAAAAGTAAAATGAAAAGAAAAAAGTTCTTAAGACATCTTCAAAAAGGCTACTTAGTAGATTACAAGTAACAGTTTACAATTATTATTGTACAGTAAAATAATTTATTATGTATTTTTAAACAGTACCTCCGAAGCGTTAGACCTCTATTGGACAATGAAAATTATACTCGTATGGAGAGATTAGCGAAGGAATTTCAAAATGGTATAGGCGTGAAACTTCAAAGATATTTAATACTTAAGTCTTGGTGGTCTACCAATTATGTATCTGATTGGTGGGAGGAATACGTTTACCTTCGAGGTAGATCGCCGCTTGTTATAAATTCAAATTTCTACGGAATAGATGCTATTCTTATGCATCCAACTACGAATCAAGCTGCACGTGCCGCCAGCACTATTCATTTTTGTTTACAATACAGACGGCTTATTGAGCGTCAACAACTTGAACCAGTTAGTACGATATTATAAAAAAATTAGTATATTGTATTTTTCGAATGACGATATACACCGAGAGAATTATATTTTTTCTGATTCCCAGATTTTACTGCAAGGTATAATTCCTTTATGTTCCTGGCAATATGAAAGACTATTTAATACCACAAGGCTTCCTGGTATTGAAACAGACAAAATAGTTCACTATCAAGATTCTAAGCATATAGTTGTACATCACAAAGGAAGATATTTCAAAGTTCTTATTTATTACAAAAATAGAATTCTTTTACCATGTGAAATAGAAATGTAAGAGCGTTTTATATTCAAATAACAATCTAATATTATATATATTTTTACAATTCCTTATTTTTTGTTATTACTTTTTATAACAAAAATATCCTATACGAGATTTATTATAATCTATGAATGTCCATTACATATAGACAAATTCAACAAATTTTGGATGACAAATCTGAACCACCAGAAAGTGAAGAAAAATTAGCTGCACTGACAGCTGGAGAGAGAAAACCTTGGGCAGAAGTCAGAAACGAATATTTCGCGAAAGGAATAAATAAAGTTTCCTTAGATATAATAGAAAAATCGGCATTCATTGTCGTTTTAGATGATTTTCCATACGAATACGATCCTGTAAGTAATTATAATTTTGTCAAAGATAAACATAAATTAATACTTTAATATGAAACATTTAAAATATCTTCAATTAAATGCTTATACAGTAATTTTCTATTTTTAGGAACATCCTGAAAAGTTAGATAATTATGGTCAAATTTTGTTACATGGTAAAGGCTATGATAGATGGTTCGATAAATCTTTTACTTTGTGTATTGGAAGTAATGGAAGGGTAAGAAATAAAAAGTCACAAACAAAAATATTACTTACAAAATAATAAATGTAGCTATCTTAACTGCTGAATTACATATTTTACAGATCGGTTTTAATGCAGAACATTCTTGGTAAGTTTTTCTTTCATATAGAAAAATGCATTAGGCACAAGTAATAATTTCTTGATAAACCGATCGTACCCAGATGACGATGAAAAAATTAAAACATTATCTATATTAATTGATTCATTTTTTGAATTTCTACTTTTTGTTATTATTTATTCCCTATTTAATGTTTCTTCATTCAATGTCTGATTGATTTCATACGTAACAGTTATTGTCTAATGAGTTTCATAGATCAAGGTGATAATAATTTAATTAAAGAATCATTGAAACACAGAAATAATATATTATTTTCTTGCGATTGCATGAATATTTATAAAATTATATATTAGTAAATTATATATTAGTAACTCTTATTTTGAGATGTGTAAACAATAAGTAAACAATAAGTAATGCAGGGCAGATGCTGCGGTGATGTCACATTTATGGGAATTCTTAATATATGAAGAAGCCTGCAACCGAGAGTAAGAACCTTAATTCAAACTGAATGGTTTATAAGTCATTGAATTTCTTTATCATCTTCTCTTTCATCATTAAAAGCTTAGCATGATATGTTTATGTAGATTATCGGTGTTGGTAATATTTTGCCTTGTATAAACTAAGGAAACTAGCTAAGTGTTAATCTTCATTTAAACAAAATGATGGAACGTTATATTTGACAAAATTTTACAGTGATAAACAGTAAAATATAATTTGTTTACTGTACATACATTTATAAAGAATATTTCTTGTCACCTAACTCTCTATTGCTTGTAATGATACTACAAAACATTAAAAGAAGAAATTATTGAATCCAAAAGAAACAAAATTCTGAGAACAAAAAATTTTATTCGAATCATTCTTTTTTCTTATTACATAATTATTATAACTTATGAAAATATGAATTTATTTATGCATATGCATTTGTTGACCTTTACATTTTTACATTTTTGGACATCTTAATGAATAATTTGTTATATAATAGTAATATATACACAAACAAATATATGAAAGTATTTGTTTGTGTATATATTACTACCGCTCCAGAAATTATTTAAATGATTATCCATATTTAAAAATGTATCAAAATTAATAGAAATTATTTTGAACTTCTAGGATAATTATTTTACATCAAAACGCCTAAAATTTTGGACTGTTTCATTTTTTTCAAACATCACTCTTTCTTATTCAAAGTCAAAAAATTCATATCGTTAAAGTCGTCTTTTAATAAATTACAACCCTCTCGTAAGATAAATATGTCAATATATTTAAAAAAAAAAACATTAACCCTTGAAACTTTTAAACATTATATTGAAAAAAATTTTGGTAACAGTATATTGTCCCCTTTAAATTAAACAATTTTGTACTAGACATTTTTTAATACTATCAAAAGCAACAGAGATATTTCAAATCTTCGAGTTAAATAAAACACTGTATAATTTCCTAGCATGAAGGTTTAGAAGAACTTTGTATATATTTTTATTTCTTTGTTTCAGTTTATAAGGTATCACTGATGAGTACTTGACAGTAAAAGACCGATCCAAAAAATATATGTTAATTATTTATCCATATTTTGTCTTCTGCTTCATAGGGCTGATGCTCCTGTTATGGGATCTCTCTGGGAATATGTTATTGCTAATACTATGGAAAAAGGGTAATTCTCTTTCCATGTTTGTATTTTATGCAAATTGCTAAATATGTAATAACACCTTAAGAAATCCATACATTTTATTGCACTTCCCACATAAAAAGTAAACTTGTAATTAACATGCTTACAACTTAATGCTTTAATAAAAAATTCTATACTGCTTTATCTCCTTTAAATATGTAATCATTATTGTTCTGAAAGAATTATAACTGTAATTAATAGATTGTAAAATATGACAATAATTATTGTAAAATAATTAAATTATAATTATTTCAATAATACTTTTTAGTTTTAACTACTATTTATCTATCAGATATAAAGAAGACGGACGTAACAAAGGTACTCCAGAATTTATACCACCAAGCCCTACTCGACTTCAATGGGATTTGTCTTCAGAATGTATTGAATGTATAAATCGTTCTAATGAGGTACTACTTTTACATTTATAAAAATCATGTGCAAACACATAGTCATGTGTGTAAAGATTATTGATTATTTTTTAAATTATTAGATTGTACAAAAATTAATAAATGACATTGAGTTACGTATCTATGTACACGATGAATACGGTAAAGGTTTTATGAAAGCTAGTGCAATGTCACCAGATGCATATATACAAATGGCTTTACAACTAGCATATTATCGTGATGCTGGAAAGTTCAATCTCACTTACGAAGCTTCCATGACAAGACTATTTCGTGAAGGCAGAACAGAAACTGTTAGACCATGCACTATTGAATCTGCTGCATGGGTAAAGGCCATGGAAGATAAGAATGCAACGGTAACATAAATATAATAGTTCAAACCAATATTTACTAAAAACAAAATATAAAAAACTGCCTTTTCCATTACAGTTAGATAACAAGTATAGATTACTACTAGCAGCAGGACAACAGCATCAAAAAAATTGTCAGGATGCTATGTGTGGCAAGGGTATAGATAGACATCTTTTCTGTTTATATGTAGTGTCTAAATATCTTGAAGTAGATTCTCCATTTTTGAAGGTATTTGGTAAAATATTTCAAAAAAACAATTTGAAACCAAAAAAGAAAATAGTTATAAAGAAAAAAAAATTATTTAGGAAGTCTTAAGCGAACCTTGGCGATTATCTACATCTCAAACTCCACATGGACAAACATCAAAATTGGACTTGAAGAAATACCCTGATTGTATCTCTGCTGGTGGTGGATTTGGTCCTGTTGCCGATGATGGTTATGGGGTTTCTTACATTATTGCTGGAGAAGATGTTATATTCTTTCATATCTCTAGTAAACGTAGCTCACTAGTAACGGTATATAATGGGAAAAGATTAGATTAATAATCAAACATTGATAAACTAGTTAAAGAATTATTTTCTAAATTTATTGTCATTATTATTTATTTTTTACAGGATGCTGCTAGATTTGCACGCCAAATAGAAAAGGCATTTGCTGATATGAAAAAATTGCTTTTAGAAAGGAAAAAAGTTCAACAGCACAAAAATGGCTCCACATAAAGAATTTAGTTATTGGTGCATTAGAAGGCTATGAAGCACATATCAAAAACTACTACAAACTATAACAAAATTCTTTCTATTATTTGGAGGAGTAAACATAAATTCATACAAATTTGTACTCTTAATTATTTTTATATAAATAATTACTACAAACGAAATTTGGCAAAAACAAATACAATATAGAATATTTGTATAAAAAAAAGGAAATATCTGTTATTTGCTATTTTTCAATAATTTGTTATATTTCTAAATGCAATATTGACATCAATAATATAAAATTTAATTTTAACTTTTCTATATGCATATATACAATTAGAAATAATAATGAAGAAATGTTGCGAATATAAAGAAGTAAAATTTTAAATTCATATCTTTTTGTATTGGTTTTTGTATATAACATTAGAAGAAAATATTCGCTATCTATCATATTTAACTACTAAATTATATTTACTAATACAGCTTTGGGTATCATTGGAAAAATGGAAAATCAGATAGTTATTCAATATATTTAAAATTTTGATATATATATATATATATATATATATATATATATATATATATATATATATATATATATAATCGATGTTTTTATCACAATGACAATATACCTAAATTTATTCTTTAAAAGTAGTATCAATCAGGTCAATTTTATACATATTATATTATCAAAATGATTAAGTATGCGTAAATTATTAAAGGTGTTACGGTACGTCTTAACGCCAAATTTATAAACTTTAAAAATTTATTTTAAAAATTTATAAATTTGCAGTTTCAATATAAATGCAATTGCATTTATATTGAAACTGCAAATATTCAATCTTTTATTTTCATATTTATTTACATTAAATACTCACTTTGTTGATTGCAAAGCTACAATTACAATATACTATTTTTATAGTGATTATCATAGCTATTGTATCAATATGTGACTATCATATATAAATAATATTCAAACCTCAACTTATGGCTAGATTAAATCTGATTGAGAACTTTAGAATGTTTATTACTTGTACAAATGAGACGTCATGAATGCCTAAAATATTATGTAATCATATGAACTTTTAGTATAATTAAATATTTAAAAATGCCATAAACTAATATCTGCAACCTATCAATGCAAAATTTTATAATGTCTCATTTTATACTAGAAAGTTAATATAATTATATTTTCTTTAATACGTGTTTGTTAAAGGTATTGTTAGAGGTACTGGTGCTCTTAATTAAAAATATTTCAAATATTTCAACGTTTGTCAATGCAATTATTTTTATAATACTTTTAGTAAAAACTTTATGTAATCATCTATATATATCTAATTAAATATAAATCTTTGGTTATTACAAAATACTTTATATCTCAAAGAATATAAATCTTAAATAAACTACAGATTATTATTGTAATCTTTAACTACATCAACTTTTAACAAAAGCATTACTTATGTTTTAATATATATAAATACCATTTATGCTATTTAAATACTAAAATAATTTTACAGATTTATCAATGCAATATAATTTAACAATTTTTATCATATTCGTTTATGTAATCATATATTATCCTTTGTTGATATTTGTACAAAAATATGTAAAATTGGAGACATATCTGTAATATTAATATATAGCATAATAAATTTTACTAATAATATTATATATAGCAATTTTGCTCTTATAATAATATAATTTAGTGCAATTGCAAAAAAAATACATGCTATAAGATATGTATCAATATATTGCATAGTTATTATTTCTTTCTATTTTTATCTTCTTTAGATATTTGGGTCTTCAGTATTTTGTCTTTCTTTACAGTTTTGTGCTTATTGGAAATAAGAACATTACGTAGTGTAGAATGAAGAAATCTTTTATTGACGGTCTCTCTAGGCTTTACCCATCCAGTAGGTCCCATTATTTCAGCTCTTTGTGCACCGAGTTTTGCTTCTTCAAGTAGAGCTTCAACTGCAAGTCTACATATATAATATTTAAATAAACATAAATTAATCTTAACATATGTGTGTGTGTATATATATATTTTCTTTAAAGAGTACACTAATAAGATATTAAACATACTTATTTAATTCTTCATCATCCATATTCATTGCCTTTTATTACGAATTAGTAAGCCTAAAAAGAATATGATATAAAAAGAAACGGTAAATCTATAAAATAAGAAAACTAAATTAAATGCGAAATTTAAATATTAAACAAATATGTACAATATAAGTATATGAACTAACGAAAACAGAAAAGAAATTCTTATACTTATAAAAATATCAAACAATGTAGTAAATTATAAAAAATACATTATACAATCTGGTAAAAAAAAGATTGATAGTACACTTTGCTACAAGATGTCAATACCTTAACAAGATTTATTGCTATATTCTAATATACACTAGATTCACTGGTCAACTTATTAGAATTGAAATGAATCAATCATATTTTTTGATAAAGTTATGATCAAATATATCACTATACACTATATATCACTCATACACTAAATGATATTAAACTACGATAAATAACGATGACAAAATGACATCCTCTTCTGCTTATTTTACCAATTCCCACCATCGTTGAACTTTTCTAGCTGTCACTAGTAGTCGCAACTGATATATATGTGTGTGTATATATAATATATATATATATATATATATGTTTCAATAAACCTTATATTTATTCACAGTGTGCTCAATTCGCAGTGCAACATGTATGCAAGTGCGGGATACCAAACCTTTAACTGTAAACTACATACATACATATCTATATCTCTAAAGAAAAACATGAATAAATGGTGTTTATACTCTATGAAATTTTTTCTTTCGTTTACTAGGTAGCGTCCTAGTCGAAATTGTTCGAAACACCATTGCATTTATTTTATTGTAGAAGTATACGGGAATTTATATTGTACAATTTTAGCAAGGTTTTTTTCTCTGCTTTCGATTTACGTACATTTATTTGTGTCGTATATAAATAAAAGCATTGTAAATTTTGAGATGTTAATAATATTAAAAATTTTCTTTTCTCAAGTATAAAAATATCACATCTCAAGCCGTTAGTTTGAAGTATTATTTTCGCAATCATCCTTACGTTTGGTGTTTGTTGTTAATATAGTGCGTTTTGATTCTCATAATTTTATTCAAAATCAAAATAATGTTTATTACTATTTTTTTACTATTTTTATATAGGAATGTAGAATAATGAATGTTTCCAAGAAACAGCTTGGCAAGATGACAAAGACTCGAATCTCGTGAATTTTTCATTTATCATTCCTTTTTCTGTTAATTTTTATACATTTTGTACAACGAAAGATGTCACAAACGACAGAAATAGTACAAATATCTGGAGAAATTATAGAGGAAGGACATGAAAAAGCCCAGGTCAATGCTCCGCTGCAAGTAGTCAGAGTACCTGTCAAACATACCAATCTTGGTATACGTAGTCATGCAATGTACATATATATAAATATTTTTATTGTTTAACGAAATATAAAATAAATATCATATCTATGTAATTGCAGATTGTGTATCTCTTTAACATAATGCTATGTTTTTAATGTCCAATCTTTTTTTTAGGGATATGAGTACAATGGTTGAGCTAACATCATTCAGTACACTTGGAAAAATACAACCCTTTTTGGTTACAATCACAACCACCGCTGCATTATTAGTTGATTTGCATTGTCACTTAACTGACAAAGAAGTATGTGGATATTTGGGTGGACATTGGGATATTAATTCACATAGTAAATATATTTTGTGTATATATATATATATATATATATATATATATATATATAATAAATTTTATTTCCACATTAAATGATAATATATAAAGAATTATATTGTTCATCAACTCAGATCTATCTATAACTTGCGCATTTCCATGTCGATATTCTGGCAAAGATAAATCAGCTGCAGCTGCTGTAGAAGCAGAAATTGCAAAAGCTATGGAATGGAAACATGTGACCCTCGTTGGTTGGTATCATTCTCATCCTAGATCACATGCTTCGCCATCTCTCAGAGATGTTGATGCGCAATTAGATTATCAAATTAAAATGAAAGGACCTAGTGATAATGGTTACATGCCTTGTGTTGGTTTAATATGCTGTGAGTTTTCTTTTTTCTCACTTTTTCTGCTATTATTTGTTTAAAGAGTTTAATATCAATTTTTAATATAATTATAGCTCCTTACAACATGGATGGTAATTGTTATGAATCAAATTTTAATGTCTTTTGGTCATTGCCACCTCCTGAAAACCGACCTCATGAATATCCACGCCCTATGCTTCTTAGTTATACTTTGTCTCAAGAGCATTTTCTTGCTCAAGATACATTAGAAGAAATAGTAAGTTAAATACCTGTGATTAAATAGAATATTGAATTGATAAAGTGTTGATAAAGTGTTGAATTGACGATTCTGTACTACTTCCTTTCAGAGGCGATGCATAGAATATTATAGAAGCGAAGGAGGTATCGATTTTACTACTAATTTTAATAACAATACTACGTATCTTGAACGTTTAAGAGTAAGTTAATAAAATCATTTAATAGTTTATAGAAAAAATAGGAATAGAGAGAATTATATTTTTATTTTTATTATGCAGTGTTCTTTAGCATCCAAATTACCTGGACGTAATCGTGCTAATGGATCTTACTGGGATATAATCAGAGAAATGATTTGTCCTGGTTCAAAAGATGGGAATACACCAGAGTTTCTTACTGTTAAATTTCCACTTGTACCAGTTTCGGAGTCTCTTGTTCCTCCAGTCCCACCTGGTATCAATCTTCCAACATACAATGCAGCAGTCTTTCTGGCACCTGTAAATTTTAAACCTGACAGTGCCATAATTACACCAACATCTAAACCATTCGTTATGCAACCATCTACTTCTAGAGACAATGTTAGAAAAGATAATGCTACGGGGACAGATACGGCATCCTTAACACAAATAAAAGATGGAAATACTGCCATCTCAAAACATATGTCGCAACCAGAAATGATCCGAAGTTTTCAATCGGGTGAGCTTACGGTTTCAGTGAAAAACACAAAATGCGATTATGATTTTGCTCCTACAGATTTTGCCAAATTACCCAATCCTGTTGGAGTTGATATTACGGGTAATAAAAATCGGACCACAACTACCCCAGATTTTCCTTTAACAGATATTACACAACAGATTACAAAGTTTCAAGACTTTACAAAATTAGCGAATTTCTCTGCTGCCGATTTAGCAAAGTTATCTGGTTTTCCAATGCCTGATTTTTCAAGAACATCGTCGCCTTCGCCATCGACATATATGAGAAATATAGCAAATTTATTCGGTCCTTTTGGTAAGGTTTCACCCGCAAGAGACACAGATGGTACGGAACGTAAAATAAATGAATTTTCAATTGGTGAAGTGACTCAATCGCCATTTAAACCTACGTCAGGAACCGCAGATCTTGGAAAAAATTTCTCTATTGGTGCGGAGGATTATTCTAGTGGGAAAAAATTAGACATTCAAAATGATTCTAAACTTAGTCGATCAAATGAATATCAAGGGACTGAAGATCTATCAAATTCTTCAAGCATTAAATCTGATTTTGGCGGCATGCTTGATATGACCAATTTGCATAAAAAGCAACAACAATCTCAAATCGGCGATATCAATGATACATCACTTAATTTATCGAAGGATCGTCAATAATTCTTATCTAACATTGATCAATTTGTTTGACAATTAAGTATGTAAACATTGCGAACCTTTATAGTATATTCTATGAATCTGTGTATATGCGTTCGCGCACATGTGTTTAAATAATCATATTTAAAGACTCTTGTGTCAAACTGCATTTTTATATTTTCGTTTATTCTTTATCAATGAAACATTATCTTTTTTTATAAACAAAAATGCTTCTCCTATCTTCTATGTGTATGTATATACATTTTTACCATACATTGAGAATGATATTTAAAAAAAAAAGGAAAAAGTAAATTATATTTGCGATATTGTAAAAGTACTTTACACAAGATATTAACGTAAGTATTGATTAAATTTTGAGATAAATAATTGATAACAAAAGAGGGCGCTGGATGGCGCATTAAAACGAACATGGTTTTTACGCATCATATCACGTTACATTTTTACACACTCTATTTCGTGTAAATGAAAAAAAAGTATAACTTGTTTTTCGTTTCTTGAAATTATATTTCGATATAATATCATTTTTAATTATTTCTTTTTTATAGTGATATAAACACAAAAGTATATGGTGTGTGAAAGTGAATGATATATTTTTAACTTGGACCCATTAAATAGGCTATGTTGCAAATTTAAGTAGTAATCTGAATATAATTTGGAAAAAGAGAAGGATAATTAAATATTAGCTGAAAATATTTATATCCATAAAAAGAAATGGATGAGTTACCAATTACCGAAAATCAGTTATTACAGAAACATAAGCGAGAACGGAGAGAATTACAAGGTACTTTATTGACGTAGTACTTTTATTAATTCTAACTTACTTTTATGTTAACATCACAATAAAAATATAAATATTTTTCAGTCAAAAATACTTTGTATGGCTATATTGTAGTTAAAACTGTTATAATGCTTAAATAATGTATCTATATTATATATCGCAGCTCAGATACAGGTATTGAAGAAATCAATCTGTAAAGGTGATAAAAAGAAGAAAAAAGAAGTTACAGATGAAATTGCACGTAAAGAAGAAAATTTAGAAAGGAAGCAAGATGAAGAATTAGCAAGGTGGAAAATATCCCAAGTTACACTGAATGATACAGATGCAGAGAATTTAGAAGAAACATGTGATATAAATGATATAGAATCGAAAGAATCTGAGAGAATACAACAGAGAATTTCTAAAGCTCAACGAAGAAGGTATAAAAAAGAAAATGCAGAAAGAGAACGTAATCAAAGAATTATAGAGCAGGAAGCATTTGATATATATGGTAAGAGAAATGTTGAGATGCAATCTATACAAAAAATTCTTTACGAACGTGATTTAACGTTATATGAAATTCCAAGTGATGGTCATTGGTATGTTACATAATGTGTAATATTTTAAAAATATTTATAAATAATGTAGAATTAATACATGATCATTTATTTCTTTCATTTCAGTTTATACAATGCAGTTGCACATCAACTTAAAATACTTGGAGATATTCCATTTAGCCTATGTGATCTAAGAATGAAAACTGCCATATATTTAAGACAAAATAGAAATGATTTCTTACCATTTATTTCAAATCCAGATTCTGATCAGTTATTGTCACCTGAGCAGTATGAAAAATATTGTAATGACATAGTTGAAACTTGTGCTTGGGGTGGTGCAATTGAGGTAATTATTCTAATAAGTTTTTCTATAAATCTTATAATATTGTAGAAAGTGTCATATGTATATATTGTAAATATGTGTCTAATACAGTTGCAAGTACTGTCGCGTATTTTGGAACGTCAAATTGAGGTCATCCAAGCAACAGGTATCCCCTATATCGTTGGAGATGAATTCAGTAAGAAAAAAAGAATAATATTAACTTACCATCGTTACATGTATGAATTAGGTGCTCATTATAATTCTGTTACAAAATTTGTAAAAGAAGATGAAAGCTGATCATACATTCTATTATACTTAAACAACATTTATCTTAATACGAACATGAATGTATTATATAACGTGATAAATAATTCTGATTTAATTTTACATACATTAGATTTATTAAATATATTAAGATTGATAAGTACGTTGAAATAACTAATAGTATCCAATACTTAATTTTCTCAAATCATGCAAATATTATCACTATACTAATGTTTTATAGATTTAATATGGTAATAAAATTCAATAGTCAAATACATCATTTTATTATTATTATTATTATTATTATTATATTGTGATAAAACTTTACATTTTCATAAGTTTTAAATATTTTTTTATAGAAGTTTATTTTTTAAACATTAAAGCGGTTTTAATATTAACATATAAATTATTATGTTTAATTAAACGAGCTAAAAGCTAAAAATGTTTTTAAAACTATATAAATAAGAATAAAATTAATACATGTTATAAAAATTAATTAATCAATAAGTCTTTTATTTTGCTTACCCAATCATAAAAAAAACTTATTTTACATTAAATAGAATAAAAGTGATCTACTGACTTGATAAAATTCAGGTATTAGGAATTTTTAGAAAAGATCAATCAAAGAAATGTAGTAATTTATTAAAGAACAATTACGATGCTGTAAAAATATCATCTAAATGAACAGTACATATGAACAATGTCTTAAAATAAACATTTAGTACTCTCTATATTAAGTAATAACATTCTAATATTTTAATATTTTAATCAGCAAGATAGACGTTGCTGGTTATTTCTTATTTACCTATATTTAATTTATTTACTCACACTTTTTTGTGTATAGATTAACGTATTCATCAGTGACAATACGAGCGAACTACCAATTATTAATATATCTTGCAGTCTAAGTATTAGATATTCTCCCCCTCTCTGTTTATATCATAAAATGCATATATATATAAATAATATGAAATACCATGAACATATTTAAGTCAGAGGAATAAGTTACGATATACCAATATTGTAAGTATCAATCTACGTATCAACATTTCCATGTATCAAAGTTTCCATGTGAAATAAATAATATATAAGAAGCATGATTATTATTCTTTATGACATTAATTTATTTAGTTTGTATAATAACTGTAATATTTTATTAAATCTTCTGTGGATTAGTATAAAAGATAAAAGTTTTTCATTATTTTTCACAAGACTCTTTAATGTTGTCATTAGACGGATCTTCAAACATTGATTTATTTTTTATGTTTTGTTCATCTGGTTTCATGGCTGGAAACAGTAATACCTCCTGAAAAGAATATTTAGTATTAAGTATGATATACATTTTCTGTTGAAATTATACTATATAAATATTACCTTAATATTATTTGAATCCGTCAAAAACATGCATAGTCGATCTATACCCATTCCCCAACCTGCAGTTGGGGGTAATCCATATTCTAAGGAAGTACAGAAATTTTCATCTACCATTTGTGCTTCATCATCTCCTGCTGCTTTATCTTTTGCTTGTTGTTCAAATCTGAAAAAAAATTAAAAACAAAGAAAATTAAATAGAAATGTTTCCTTCTTTGAGTTGGAAGGAGAAGTGAAAAGTAAAAAATACCTTTCTCTTTGCACTAGGGGATCATTTAATTCTGTATATGCATTACAGATTTCTTTCTTCATAATAAATAACTCAAATCGTTCTGTAAGACCTGCATCTGAACGATGCCATTTAGCTAACGGAGACATTACTTGTGGATGATCTAATATGTAAGTAGGGTTTATGCATCTTTTTTCTATAAATTCCCCAACGAGCTGCCAATATTAGAAATATTACGATTCAATCAATAAAATTGTCCGTTATATTGAAATTCTTTTATATCAATATAAATACCTACTTTATCTAATAACCTGGCAGTTGTTCTTGGTGGAGGACACTCAATATCATGTTTTACACAAAGATCATTAAGCATTGTATTAGCTTCCAATGTATCAAGCTTATCAGCATCAGGTAATTTTACTTCCAAAATTTCCTCTAAAGTTTTCATCATGGATATCCGTTTAAATGGAGGTGTAAAATCTATTTCTACTACTTCACCATCAGGTCCATTCGGATGATACAGTAATTTATAACTACCGTGAATAGCTTTTACCATTCCAGAAATCATATTTTCTGTAATAGACATGAGATCATAATAGTCAGCATAAGCCATATAAAATTCACATGTCGTAAATTCAGGATTATGCGTCATGTCAATGCCTTCATTTCGGAACTGTCTACCAATTTCATAAACTCTGTCTATACCACCAACAACTAACATCTATATAATAAAATAAAAGTTTGTTTATTAAGAAGAATGTAAAGACTGTTTGTAAAAGTATATAAATAAATCATACCTTGTGATAAAGTTCTGGAGCAATTCTCATATACAAATCCATATTTAATTCATTATGATGAGTAACAAAAGGTTTGGCTGTAGCACCTCCAGCTATCATACTCATCATAGGAGTCTCAACTTCTAAGAAACCTAATTCATCCAAAATTTACGCACATATGCAATTATTTTCGCTCGAATGTAAAATATTAGTCGCACTCTGTCATTTAAAATAAGGTCTAAATAACGTTGACGGTATCTTGTTTCCTAAAGATATAAAAGTTTAGTATATATTAAAAAGATGCAATCTATACATTTATTAGTATTTAAAATATTTACCTTATCTTTTAATCCAAAATGAAGATGCGGTAACATATGCAAACAAGGTGTAAGAAGAGTAATACTTTTTGACATAATAGAAAATTCTCCTTTTTTGGTTTTTCCAGGATTTCCAATTACGCCGATTATGTCGCCTCTCCTAATTTTGAATGTGTCCTTAGCAAATTTATCTTCTCCTTCATAATGTCTTGCATTTGCCATTACTTGTATTTTAACACCCTCTCCTCTAAGGTCATAAAAAATAAGTTTGGCTCCAGACTCTCGTATTGCATGTACACGACCAGCTATGCTATAAATTTCTTTCTCAAGAATTTCTCCATCTTTTACGACAGAACTAAACTTTTCAATAAAATTTTCTAATGAAATTGATACATTAAACTTATGTGGATATGGATGTTCATTTGCAGCTTTAAGTTGTTCAATTGCTTGAGTTCTCAGCTTAAAATATTCCTAGAAATAAAAACAAGTATGAAATATATGTGAAAAAAAAGTACTTTTTGTGCCTTAGTACAAGCCTAGCTTAATATGCTAATATTCTTTACATTTGGATTGATTTCTTCTTCTTTAATAGCCTTTTTCTCTAGAGTTTTAACAGGAATCTTCTTTGCTTGTGCATTTTCAACTTCTTTTGTAACCCTTTCTGCTTCTTTTACTGCTTTTTCATTTAATTTCTGTTCTGCTTTTAAACGTATCTTTAACTCCCTAAAAATAATAGATAAAGCAATATATAAAGCAACGAATTTTTTCTTTGTACCATTATGATAAACATCTTCTATATAAGTACACACGTTGTAGAAAATCGGCTTGAAGTTATTTGATAAAATGTTGCTTCAATTTTAGTGATATGCGATTTATTTAATACTCTTACAGACTGATGAATAGAAGTAAAAACTTTGGTTAGATTACTTAACATAATTACAAAATTCTCATTATATGCCTACTTATCATACGAGATGTATACATGTGTCTACAATAAGAACATCGGATCAAAGATTTTTCGTAAAAAAAGTTATCACTATTATTACATAGAAAATAATTTCTCAAACTAGCCAACCGTTCATAAAGCAACGTGGCCAGTCTATACAAAGACTGATCACCCATACGTCAAAATCATAGGATATTAACGAACACGGACAACCATCATTTTACATTTTCATGAAATCTTTATTAACAAAAATATGAAATAATATTTGCACTACTTTTAATTGATTTACTTACTTCTTGGAAAGCTTTTCTTCCGTTACATCAGCCATCGCAAAAGTCTCATACAATATTTCCAAATAGATGTTGGCGAAACTGAATATTCGTTAACCATTTTTGCCTCTCCATCTATTTCAAATATACTAAAATATGATTTGTAAATATTCATAAAATGAAAAAATTAAATCAACTAACAATTATTTGATACTTTCACATAAAAATCATGAGTGTTACATTTTATAAATCAAATAAACCAAATCAGTTTCAATTTACGCGCCATTTCTTAAATTTTAGAATATAGGAGAATTTGTTGTCATGACAACCAAATTTGTTGATATTTAACACAAAAGAGATTCGAATTATTTAAAATATGGATAGTTTTTTTGGATATAAAGAAATACAAGCATTACGAAACCTAATATCCCCATCAGAAGACGACTCGGATTCTGAAGAATTGTATCAAAATGAAGTAAAGAGAAAAGGTGAATTATTATTTTTATAAAAATAAATTATATAAAAGAAAGATTTTACAATATAAAAATGATTATATATTCATTTGAAATATTCCATTATTATTAAATAAAAGTATTCTTTCTCCTAAAATCCTAATTTTTGATTTATTATATGTATCTTATATAAAATTAACAAAACTTATCGTAGACAAAATAAATAACACTAGATATGGAAATAAATTGTACCAATCCACAAAAAATTATTACATTCAGCATGTAAAGACATTTATTAGTTTCATACACATACATATCACTTTTAATTAAAATTTCACCATGTCCTATTATATATACTATTAAGCTTCTTAAACCGTAAATTGCGATCTCATATGGAGACGCGTAATTGAATGTGGGGATTCCGAAAAATTTGGTAACAGTAATAGATTTCTGAATGCATAACGACTACAAATCCATTCAAAATCAAACGCATAATAAATCAAGATTTTGATTTGTATACTTATTACGAAGTCGTGTAAAAATTTCACAAGCGAAAAGGAGTCGCGAGTAAAAAAAATTTAAGCCCTTTCTTAGATTATTTAAATTCACTAACCATCGCTCCATATTTAAAAACAAAAGTCCTGCAGCTCTCGAAGCACGATAGTTTCAAATAATGGAATCGTTTCCTTTTACATTATCGAGTGTGCACGTAGGAGCATGGGCAGTCAATTGCCTACCTATGATTTAAATAATAATAATTTATAATTACATTAGTTATTTTTATTTTTAGGTCCAGGCGATATAGAAGTTCAGAAAGATGTACCTCTTAATAATTTAAAGCCACACACTCCTCTTAAAGAAAAAGATGACATTTGGCATTCATCGGAAATACACACTCTTCCTATTTCTGAAATAAATGATCCAAGAAAAGTACCAGAATATGAAATCAAATTTAAACAATCAGTGAAAACAGAAGATATTTTTTTAAATGTTAGTTTATTAGTACATTATCTTATCTTGGATAAAAGCATTTTTAAAAATATTAATAATATTGAACTGTGTCATTTAGATGGGTTTTAAAACACCTGGCACTGCATCTTGCGAATGGATTTCCGTGTTAATAAAACTTCCTCAAGAAGTTCAAGAGAAAATTGAATTGTCCGTTGAACCAAAGATAGTTGATGTGCGTAGTCCTAAGTAAGTAAATGATGTTTTCTTCTTAAATAATATGTATTTATCTTGTTGGATTTAATATTTATTATTATATGTATTAAATTTAAAAAAATAGTACAAATTTTATATGTTTTTGTATTAATATTAGAGTAAAGTGCATATCTTTTCGTCGAAATCTCTAGTACTTTATATGACAAAAATTGTACTTTTATCATTCTTAGTAATCTATTTTTTAAGCACTACTATCAGGTGTTTAAATTTAAAAATTACTATCACCTTTCTTTCTAAACATTAATTGTATAATGCTTTTACAGATACCGATTGCATCTTCCAACACCTCACGAAGTAAATCCTAATGCATCACATGCAAAATGGCATAACGATACGGACACATTAGAACTCACTTTACAACTCGTACGAGAATTAGATGACATAAACTTTTAACAAGTACATCAACACAAAAAACATTTAATTTGGATTAAATATTAGTAGAATACAATAGGTGGAAAAAAAGAGGAACAAATACAAATAAACGAATAAACAATATTTGCGTTATTTATGAAACTTTAATTTTCTTCTCTGTACCAATGAAAATATTCTTATACGTACAAGTAAAATTGAAATTGAAAATTGCATTTTTATTATAATAATAATTACAGATATAATTGTAAAATTACTTCTTTTTTTTAAATAAAAATTAGGACTATTGCTAATACTTTTACGATATAATAAATGTTACAAAAACTATAAAAACAATAAGTTTACAAAGAAATTCGCATTTTGTTTTTTGTACAATGAATATAAGTATACATATACACTGCTCCTCAAAATGTGGACATTTTCCTTATTTTTATAACTGCCTGAAAAAAAGTTATTAAATCTTTGGTAAATTTGATTCATTTTTGTGTATACTATTTTTTACAATGTTACAAAATATATTTTAATAATAATTCCGTAAATACCTCACCAATATTAATAAAAAATAATTATATTTTTTTTTGTCTATATATATACTGCATGCCTTTATGATTGCGTTTATGATTCATGGCATCCTGGCTATTAAATTTTTCACTTATCACTTATCACAATATTTCACTTTCAAAATTGATCCATTCGACTTGGAAAATTTTTTGAAGATATTTCTCAGATGTTGGGCATTGTTTTTTAACCTGTCTGTCTAAGTGATCCCGCAGTTTTTCAATGGGATTCAAATCGGAAGATTGGAGTGGCCATTCTATTATTTTTAAATTAGGATCTTTTTCTAACTGTTTTAAATAATTCATACATATTGTAGATGTTTTGTGTCATTATACCTCATAAATATAAAATTATTGTCAATTAGGCGTTGTCCAGATGGATTTGCCTGATCTATTAAAATTTTTAAATAAGCTTCTTTAATTAATTTGTCGACAAACAAAAATATTTCGCTTGAACCCAAATACTTTAAACTTGGATTCATCACAACACCTTTTCGTCACTCTTTCAATGTCCAATTTTTTATGGCACATAATCCACTAAAATCTTTTCTTTTTATTTTGTTTCCTAAACAATGGTTTCTTTACCGCAAGACGACCATGAAAACCACCCTCTTAAGACGCCTTTTTATCGTTGATACCAAAATCATCGAATCCCTAGACGTATTAATTTCTATAGTTATTTCAGGGGCTGTACTTCTATTTCTTTTACTGATAGTTACAATGTGTCGATCTTCTGCATGAGTCGTTTTTTTAAACTTTCCAGATCTTTTTTGGATGAACAAACTCCTATAGCACCGTACGTTTGAACACTATAACTTTCGCAAGAATTTGAAATTCCTATTTTTTCTGCAATTTCTCTTATGACATCCGTCTTTGCATAATACTATGATTTGTGACTGCATTCTTACATTTAATTCACTTTTTTCGTACCCATCATGCTTTCTTAAGTATTCAAATCGAACTGAAGTCGATAGAAATACAAAGCAAACTCTACGATTTGGTTCAAGTATATATAATGCTACGATAAGGTTTCTGTACGCTGGATTATTGAAACAATGTTTTAAAATGATAGCGGACCATATCACAAAACACAAAGATCGAAGAAAATGGAATAACAGAGTCTTGTAAACCGTCCGCACGCAACAGAATATAATACAGTATTTACAGTAGTACTGGAAAACTACTGGAAAACTATTGGAAAACTACTGGAAAACTACTGGAAAACTTTTATTCATTTAAACCAAAGGAATAATTAAATTTTGCAATTTAATATTATTATAACATATCAAATATATTTTTAAATATACATATAAATAGGATTTATCGAAAAATATCGATAAATAATAATAATATGCATTATATTTCACGAATTTTTTATAATTAGTAAGTGTCTACACAGTTTTAAGCAGCACAGTGTCCCAATAAAAAATATTCACCGGGATTATTATTAAATCTAGTAGTTTTTGCAAAAATGCCGATACAGATCAATTTTGTTTTCGAGCGGAATAGATCCTTATTATAAATTTATTTATTTTGGGCTAACCCACTAGGTTAGCACAAAATAGGTTTGCACAAATTTATGATAAGGATCTATTCCCCTTGAAAACAAAAATAATCTATCCCGATGTTTTTACGAAAACCACTAGATTTCATAATAATTTTGTTGGATATTTTTTATTGGGATACTATATATATATGTGTGTATATGGATATACAATGTAATTTTCACTTTTAATAAACGAACGAATATAGTATTTTTTATTTTGTTTTTATAAATTACACATTACTAAGAATTACTGATCTCAGAAATAGTTTAATAGAAGATATTTCATCTTGTATAATTTGTGAAGGCACTTGCGATAAGGCTTTGTGCATTCAGTAACAGTCCATTGAGTTTACGTCTCCTTGTTTATACATTGTCAAGATGTCATCCAAAATAGATTCAAAACTATTAGTATATCCTTTTAACCATCGACTTTTTTCTTCGATATAAGCATCAATATCAGAATTAAATATAACATCCAAAAAATCCTGCTTAGTTATATGAGAAATGTACTTAAGCATTTTCTTTTCCGTATTTTCATAATCTTTTTCTTGGGAATTATTATAAACAGTAGCTAAGAGCATCGCATCATTTGTATTTACAATTTCATCAATAATGTTATGAGAATTGCTTGGTTCTTTTTTTGATTGAACTGCTGTTGTATCTTGTACATGTTTAATGTATGAATTATCTATACCAGCACTATTCTTTGGTAAAGATACTTCAAACAATGTATCATTAAATTTATATTTTAATAAAAATATTTTTAGTTTGTTTATAATCATTGCTGAAGCTTTACAGACTTCAAAATCGCTATCATCTTTTAAAGTAACTAACAAAACCTATAACGCAAATATAAAAATTAATTTAGATTAACAAATAGACATAATATTGAAACACATATAATTACTCATATTAATATTCGGACACTGCACTATCTCTACATTTGTTGCTATATACAAAGGGAAGATGATTGAAATATCATATTACTTATTTTACAAAAATATAAACTATTTATTGTAAAATAAATTTTAAACAAAAAATAGTCACATTATCATGTCACATTAATATTCGGACATTTTAAGAAAAATAAATAAGTATTTTCTGTATAATATTACGAAAAGATAAGATTTTAATATTTTGTCGCAAATTCTTTTTGTTTAACAACTTCATGCATTTGTTTAGACATATTATAAATAAATTTTTCAAATTTTCTGAAAAAATACAGTTTCATTCTTCTTTTAATCTCATTTTTAATTCAATTTTTGAATGAATCATTGATTTTCTAGTTTTGTTGTCTAATTCGTCTTATAAATTTTCGATTAGATTCAAGTCTGGAGATAGTGGATGTAAAACTTTTAGACAATTATATAATAAATATTCTTATATTATCCGAGCTTTATGATTTAAATCGTTGTCATCGTAAAATTCGAAAGAATTTTATATACCACATTTTCACTTTTCTGTAAATTTTTCTTTAAACGGTCCGAATATTTGTTCTTATCTAAAATATTGTCGATGAACACCAGTTCACCAACTTCAGTACTCAAAATATATTCCCATACAATCACAGAACCACCTCCGTGTTTAAAAGTAGATTTCAAATTTGTTGGTTTCAAAGTTTCACTTATTCTTCATCACATTATACTTTTTCTGTCTGTACCAAAAATACAATATTTATTTTCATCAGCAAAAATAACATCTTTCCATTAATCTTGTGGTTTCTAGACGAACTTTTTGGAATAAGCCAATCTTCTTTTCCTATTTATTTTATTGATGTACGGTTTTCTTCTTGCTATTCGATCATTATACCCATTGTTTCTCATTATTCTATGCACTTCAGCACTAATTGTCTTTCCATTTTTATTATAAACTTCTGTAGCTAATTGTGGAGCATTATAATGTAGATTTTTGTTCGTATTATTTTTCTCTTTCACTCAAAATTCGAGGTCGGTCTTTTTATTTTTTAAATTCAATGCGACCGTCTTCCTTATATCTTTTAATAATACCAGCAACTGTACTCTTCTTCATTTTTAATAATTCTGCAATTTCGCGGTAAATTGTACCTTTTTCTCTATGATAAATTACAAGTTGTCTTTTATCAAAACTCATATTCTTTCCCTTTCGTGACATGTTAAGCTTCATGGCGTTTACACTCCGAAGGACCACTTTATACTGAGATAAAATTACATTCTAAGAGTTTGTAGACAAAAAATCTACTTCACAGCTTGAACGGTTTCTTAGAATTGCTAGATTGTAGAATTTATACTAGTATCCGAATATTAATGTAAAATGAAAATGTGATTACTTTTTTTTAAAGGTTATTTTACAATTAAATATAATTGTTAGAAAGAAAGTGTATATGTATTTTCTATTTATAATAAATGGTTTATATTTTTGTAAAATCAGCAACGTGATATTTCAATCATCCTCCCTTGTACATAGCAACAAATGTAGAGATAGTGTAGTGTTCAAATATTAATGTGAATAACTGTATATTTCTATACACAATTCTTTATACATTATTTACTTTAGTTACTTACACCTAGACAATTTTGCCTTGCAAGCTCATCTAATGCTTTATTTAATCTACGTTTTATTTCATTTTCATCCAATGCGACTATTTTTCTTTGCTCTTTGGAAAATGTTACATTTGGAAATGATCCATCTAACATTCCTTGATCACTTAAATGAGATTTGATAAAATGTTTCCAAAATTCTAATGCACTTATCTTAACTTCCCAATGTAAATCAAAAATGGCTGCCACAGACATAACTTCTGATATATAATTGATAGTACTTTTCCTGAAAATATATAATATACAGAAAATAAGACAATTCTTATAAATAATGTTAAATATAACATGTTTAAGAAAATATTGAATAATTAACTTACAACCATTTTCTATAAATATATAATTCTTTAATTAAAACCACGGCCTCTCTTCGAACTATACCTTCAGTTTCTTTATTGAATAATTTTATAATTATATTCTATAAATTAAAAATATAATTTTCTATATATTATTTTATATTATTATAAAAGTTATTGTCATTAAAGCTATTTTTATTGAACTAATTTACTAACAATATAAACATACGGGAAAATCAAAGAAAGATAACTTTTCATCCCACAATTTATTTATACGAACAGTAGATGAAATAAAGATTAGAGCAGATGCTCGTACGTAGCTTTCTCCATCTGTTAGTGCAATATCAATTGCCAATTGTAAGAACTGATTAGAAAGTAAAAAATCTTGAAATGCTGGATATTCTGTAAAAAGTTATTGAAGTAAATATTTAATAATTATATTCAATTATATGTAAATATTCATAATTCTTACTATCTTCTGAAATTATTGCAATAGTATTTAGTACTTCCAATACGCTGTCTCTAACTTCCCAATTGGGATCATGTAATCTTTTATATAAAGTTGGACCAATTTCATTCATATGACTATCTGAATCTATGAGTAATGCCAAATTTGGTGGCATAAAGTTTTGAATAGCCAATTTACATACTTTTAATGCTTTCACACAAAGCTATAAAAGAGATTAAATGTTTAATAATATAAATTTAAAATTTTAAAGGAGAAATAAAAGAAATATTATTATATTCATTACATATTCTTACCATGGGTAAAATACCTGGATGATTTAAAATTCCTTGTGCAAGAGATAATAGACATATAGTTTCAACACATTCTTGCCATTTTAATTTAAACTTTTCTGTCATAATGGCAAGACCATTAAGAAGAGATGCCAATAAAATAGGATTGTCAACTATTGGGTCACCTTCTAATATTGACTTATAAATTATTTTCCTTGAATTATCTGGGAGTCCTGTTTTATTAGATTCTGAAGACGAACAGATTTTCGTCCCATCTCTTAAATCTGGCAGATAATTTTTCAAAATATGACATAGTGTTTGAAATGTAATAACTGCTACATCCTATATACAAAAAACGATTGAAATTTAATTGGATTTTTTATGTTTAATATATTTGTTATGAAAAATATTAATTTATATGTTTAGGATCCTTAGAATACAAATACTATATACTAATAATAATTAATGTATTTTCCTCTTACCCTATCCATGATGTTTGTTATCTCTAAAAGTAAATCAATTGATACTTTACAAATATGTTCTAATGGTAAATCACTTTTCCATATTACATCTCTTACATTATACAATAGTCTTTGCACAGGCATACATGTTACATCAAAAATTTTGTTAATGAACATATCAAATAATTCATGATGTACATGATCTTTCTTAACGCATATACAGAGTGGTAAAATCTGCAAAGATAATTACATAAGAATACATATTATATTTTAAAAAATTGTGTAACAACATACTATATTACCATTAGTACTATCGCTTGATGTTCAAATTTATGTTGTTCTGGCAGAGTAAACTCACATAGCATACGCAATTTTTTCCAATATATCATTAAAAACTTATTCGTTTTTATAAGTTCCACTATATATTTTTTTGATAGTAGCATCATTGATATATAACATATACCATAACTAAATTTTTGCCATACATCATTATCTATAGCCTTAGTATTGCTTATAATTCCACGTTTTAATTTTAAAAAAAGTAATAATAACAATAGTTTATGTACATGCTGGAGAAATCTAGTACCGATGCATGCTTCAAAAAGAGCTTTTACTCGCATTTCTAAATTGAAGAGTCCTTCAAATAACTCTGGAATCTTGCTATCCATGCTTACAAATAATGTATTTTCAAAAATGCTTGTCACTAAATCTAAAGTGGTACATAGCAATTTATTTTCGTCCAAATAACTTTCCTCTAAAGTTTGATGTATTTGAGGATTAAAAGTATTATTTATTAATGGATCAGTTATTGCAGATATAATTTCTGTACAAATATTTATATTCTGTTGTTCATGTAAAAGAAGAGTCCATAAAAATTTCTGACTCTCATGCGTAATATACATTGTATAATTTCTATGAGCACACTTTACAATATCTTTCCAGACACCTGAATATAAAATAAATTTATACTAATTACTCTATATAATGAGAGGTGATATATAATTATCAAGTAATAATAATAGCACACCTGATTCAAGTATCCATTCTCTACCGCTTCTGTGTTTAATTAAATCTGAGAGCATTTGTGTATAAGCAATTTTAATTGATGCAGGTAAATCTTCATTAGAAGGTTGGATGATAGTGCAAAGTTTATTATATACATCGTGACATTGCCACCGATGAAAATCTAATTCATTGGATGCAACTAAACCCACGAGTTTTAATATAAATATTATTATAGGTCGAGATGGCTTACAATTAGAATCCCATGTATTTAGAGCTTGTATAACCCATTTTTGAAGAATTTCATAGTGTTGCTGATTTTTTAAAGCTAAAAGCATTAATTTATTTTATAATATAGACAATTAATAAAATACAATATAATATCTATCTTACATTGTTTCTTTATATTTTCTCCTATATGAGTCAATAGAAGATCGAGATAAGTTACAGAGGTAATGTTATAATTAGGTGAGAGAAAAACCTCTAAAACTTCCAATAATCTTTTATCGGTCTCGAACGTTGCCATTGTACTGGATTCACTGCAATAAATTCTTATTCTTTTTTATTTTTATAAAAATATACGAAGCATTGACATTTTATTACGACCACAATTAATTTTACAAAATGAATAAAGCATTGCTAGTTCAAGAAATAAATAATCGATGATTGCTTCGCTGCATAAGATATTTGATTATATATTATAATCAGGATAAATAAAGATTACATGCAGTGTTCTGCAACCATCCGATGCACCCATAGATGTAAAAAAAAAAAAATAAAGAAAAAAAAAAAAAGAAACACGTTGTAGAGTATATAGGTAACACAACGTTTCTCACAATGTCAAATTTTCATTGTTTTGTTGGGCTTCGTTAGTTTTTGTTACATTCATATGTGATTCATTTAGCATTTGAAACATGATCCGTGATTACAATAATAACGAAACACGCCTGTAAGACACAGTATTACGTGCTATTTCTAAAATCTTTCTTCTCATTGGCCGCTTTGACATCTATACAAGTTTTTATTATGCATGAAAAAATTTATTAACGATCATTGATTCTAGAAGATGTCGCAGATGGTCGTAGAATGTGGTAATCTCGTCGCAACCGTTATGCCTTCTACGACAAAACACATAACTAACATGCCTTAGCGCCACCAAACGCACATGCGGGAAATCAACCAGACAAAATAAAAGACAACAAAGAACCCGAAAACAAAGGAGACGAAAAAGCCGGGAACACAAAGAAAATCATACATTTCTTCTTCGATTCTTCTAGAAACCACAGCCATAGCTGCTAGAAGTCATAGTCTGTTTTTATCTACTGTATACCGAACAAAGCTAAATAAACATAATACAATTGTTATTCGATGTGCAAAGCTTCTTTCTATATAGTGGACTGTCAACAATAAACTCACAGATTAGTGACGATAACGTTGGGACTGTTACGCTTCCTCCGGCAAGACACATAACTAACACGTCTCGGCGCCACTAAACATACACGTGGAAAACAACCAAAGTGAAAGACGACAAAGACGCCGGGAACAGAAAAGAAATCATTCATTTTCTCTTTGATTATTCTTGAGACCATAGATTGTTGAGAGTAATAGTCTAGTTAAATTACTGTGTACCTGACAAAGTTAAATAAATATATTACAATTATTGCTTGATGTGCAAAGTTTCTTTCTACATAGTGGGTTTTCCACGAAAAATCCATAGAATATGCTAACGTAAAATATATAATACATTTTTCGTTGAGATGATTATATTTACTAGATATATTGTATAGAGAAAGTTTACACATATAAATAATAAGGTTTGATTATCTTCCGAAAATAACAGAAAAAACTGATACTGATAAGGACACGTTCAAAAAGATGATGATATCGATGATAAAGAATAGGAACCTTTATAAATTACCAATTATTGTTGCAGTACTATTGTCTGAGACTCTATTTTATCTTATCGCAATATTACATATATGTACGATTCAAATAGTGAAAATGTGCATACGTTTCTGATACGATATTCTTAAACATTAATTTGCAGTATTTGCAATTGAAAAGGTCTAAACTTTTCGTTGCACTGATTTACATTTGCCAATGTCGTACAAAATATACGTACTTTCTATAAATATCGATCAGGAATATTATGATATACATTAATTGAAAAGATATCATATTTAACACGTTGCCGCACTCTTTTAATTTGAGGATCGTACTCAGAAACACATTTTTTTTCAATTGTTTATGACTTCCATATGAAATTGAGCCTCAGTCGTCATGTGCAAGACGGCTATAGCCGTCATTTGCGGCAACGTGTTAATTAGAATTTTATATTAATTGATAGAATTAATAAAACTGAAGGAAAAATGTTTTTTATACAAAATTAAAAAATTTATATAATTTGATATGCGCATGCCTGTGTTTATATAAAAACATTTACATTTTGTATGACTTACATTATAAAGAAAAAGGATTATTATAAGAATTAATAATTTTTTTTTATATCTTAATAAATGTTATCATGTGGAAATATTACATGTCGTATTTTTATTTAATATTATATGTGAATATTAATTTCTAATGTTCTAATGTGAATATTAATTTCTGTGTTAATATTATATTTCTATATCTAAAATAATTATACTTAAAAAATTTAAAGATTTCTTTCATGTTGAGTATTTTTTATTAGTATTAATAAATTTTAAAAATAAATAAAATATTTTGCTTGAAACATGCTGTACTCTCATTACCATCTTATTCCTAATTCCTAACATAAAAAATAAAATTAAATAAAATTAAATTGTATAACACTTAATAAATACTGAGAATTTGTATATATTTAAATTAATATATACTGAGAGATAACATATATCTATATGTTCTAAAGCTTCAATAATCGGTGTGTTTATTATATTATCATCTAAATCTTTTTTTAAAAAAGCTGTATGTTTCTCTACGTATAAACTATTATATCTCTAAGTATAAACTATTTATTGCATCCTAAATAAAAGCTTAAAAAAACGAAAAATAGCATACCATTGCACTTTCGAATGTCAAGAATACTAATCTAGGGATTTTTTATTGCGATCATTTACAACTTGCTATTTATATATACGCAACTATTTTGTGAATAGAGCTTTGGGTTTGAAGTTACAAAGGTTAAAAATGATAAAAGATTTAAGACTTTTCAAAATTTTAGATTTTATATGTTTCCGATTAGATTCAAAAGAATTCAAATTTGTCACCGATATAAACGATATAAATTCGAAGTGATTTGAAAATAGATTACATTCCATTTCTATGCATATAAATATATTTTTTTTGTTTTCTAAATTCCTTGTTTGTTATTTTTTCTTTGTTCCATAAGAATCAACATAATTTCACAATATAGGGAAATTATTAATAAAGAAATATAGGAATCTCTTCTACACCCTATAGTTACTCAATTTGGGTATTATAAATAAATTTTGTTAGTCTTTTAAAGAATTACGAACGTTAATTTTATGATAAAGACTTTATTATTAACGTGAAAATGTTGGAATAGAATAGATCGTAAATATTTTTGGCTTTAACAAAGTATAGTGAGTTGAAATTGATAAAGAAGGTGAATGAATGAATATTTGTTTTTATTTGACAGTACAACGCACTTCAAAAGTACATAATGAGGAGAATTACAGAACGCTATCAATTGATGCTGTAATAAATAATAGTGTAATAAATGTTTCCTATTGGTCGTTACAGCACTTTAAATTTCACCATAAGATTAAGTTATTCATCTTGTCGAGTTTGCACACGTGCGCGTGCGTATTAATTGTTTGTCATGCAAGAGAAATGAGATGACTCGATCAGCTGTTTCCTTACCCATTTTTGTTAGTTGCATATGTCATATGATTTATATAGTTTGAGTAACTGTGATACGATACCGCACGGTCTTGCTTTCAAATTTTAATATTATAGATAAAAAAATAATATTGTAATGCACTCAGATTAAAAATTGTAATGCATCACGCATTATGCCATAACGTGATTTAAATATTATAATATATTTCGGAATGAATAGCATATATTTATCAACTTTGAATATGATTAAATAGTGTATTAAGAAACATTTGTTCAAATAGTTCGACAATTATCTATTATATATTCTATAGCAGAATTATGACAGTTATCTCTACTAGTTTCACGGTAAGTCTAATGACGAGACAGTTGTTTTTATCATTATATTTTATCATAATATCAGGGTCAAGTAAGTGAAAATTCGTTCTACGTCTTTTGTGATAGTTATTATTTGTTAAAACCTATAAATCTGTTATTAAAATCATTTTTAGTATTTATGTCCAAGTATTATTTATATAATAAAAAGTAGAAACATAATAACGTGAATAAAAATAAATTTCTTTATAAGTATAATGTTGATTGCATTCATTAGTTAAATGATAATACATTGATTACCATAAAAATATATTCTCATAGTTCTTTCATGTGTAAGAATTTTTGTTGGTAAACAATATTATCTTCAGAATTAGTATTTTTTACAAATATTTCTATAATTATATAACATTCTTATAAAATCAATCATATTTTAGACTTTGCAAATGATGTCAGCTATGGTACCAGGTACGCATAATGTTATGAATAATGAACAAAGTTGTCATCATACAATAGAAAGACAAAAGTTACTTGAAGACTTGTTGGATGCTGCAAAAAAGTGTTACATTAGATTTGGAGGTCGTGCAGAATTAGCAACAGAATCAGACACATGCGTTGCTCAACTCTGTTTTATACTCGAAGCAATTTTTAGTCATGGATTGCGCACTAATTGTATAGAAAAAGTTAATTTAGCTTTAAAGTAAACATTTTATTTTTCTATGATTATCTTTTATAAAAATCTTTATCGTTTTATCATGCATCATAGTGAAGAAAATATTGATTTTTTATAGACATGTTTCTGCTTTAGTATCTGGTAGCAATGCTAAATCTTTAAATACAATTGATGCAGCATTTTGGCCATGTATAAAAGACCAATTAACATGGCATGAACAAGAACGTTTTAGCGTTTTAAGAAAGGTACGCACTGATTATGGCCGTGGTAGAGCATGGCTAAGAGCAATTTTAAATGAGCGCTCTTTGGAACGAAATTTACATACTATTATAAATCCAGATAAATTATCTTTATTTTATGAAGAATGGGCTTTTTTATTGGATCAAGAGAAATGTGCAGCATTGCCAAATGTAGCAGCAGGTGATTTCTTATGTACAGAAACATATGCAAATAATTAGAAAATAGTACATTAAATATAAACTTATCTTTTACTTTTAGGACTTAGTGCAATTTTATTTGCAATAAGAATAGATAATGAAGAATTGGACAACAATTTAAAAGTTAAAAATTCTGAGAAATTAAATAGCGAACAATCAGAACTTATTATATCTATAATGCCAGGTTTTTCTTCTTTCTTATATTTATTTTTAATTTTTATTATACTAGAAATTAATTTGAACATCTACGTTTAATTTTGTTAATCTTATGCAATTGTTTTTATTTTATAGAAAAAACATGAATCTTGATAGCTTTTTTCAATTTGTCATATAGTAAATAGAAAAACAAATATAACAGTTTCTTAGGAACCAATTAATATTAACAATTCATATATTTTAAAGGCTCTCTGAATTTAAAACAAGGAAAGGTACAAAAAAAAGTGCCAACTCATATTATTTCTTTTGATAATGATAGTGAAGAACAAGGACAATCTACTGATGTTAGTACCAGTATTAATGAGCACACTTCTTTTAATAATGCTTCTATTTTAACAAAACATTCTTCATCTCCATCTATATCAGAAGTGCAACTGGATCTCAACGATTCTAATGCTGTTGCAAATACAAGTTCTACAGAAAATGAATATGTGTAAAAAGTTATTTATGAATCCCTTTTATATTATAAATTTATTTATATCATATCATATTTTTATGAGTAATTTTTTTGATTAATATAAAACTACTTTGTCTCTGCTAGTGAATCTCTGAATGAAGGAAAGATTTTAACTCCTGTGACAGATGCTGATAACTTAGGACTTGTTCCCACGTCACCTCTAGATCAAACATTTGATGATATGTTAGTTAACTTACCAAATTATTTAAATGTAAGTAATCGTAATAATAATCATAAAGACTAATTTATTTGGATTGATTTGTCTCTATAAAAATAATTATAAATGGGTTTCAATATTTAGTTCAATTTGTATATTATTCTTATAATTATGTTTAGAAAACAACAGATATTACTGAACCTGCAGTAGAAGCAACAGAGCATCTTGTCAATTTAGATGATCGTACAAATACAGAAAATTTAGATGCAGAAACATTACGGTTGAAACTTTTAACTATGGATGAACTCTTAGAACAAGCTAGAGGGGATGCTATGACCAGTAGATTGCTGTTAAATCGCTTTCAAAGACAGCATCAAAATTTTGTTGAGAAACATCAACTCCAGTTGCAGACATTAAACAGGTGATTGTTTATATCTTTTATATTTTCATATTTATCTTATCATTTACTTTAAAACAGGGAGAATGAACTCTTAAGGCAACAATTACGTAAATATGTGACAGCTGTACAAATGCTAAGAAAGGAATCTGATTCTACATATTCAATAGAAAGAGATACTTCATCAATTCGTCACACTGAAGCAGAACAGTATGAAGCAAAATTGATTCAAGTTGCAGATATGCATGCAGAATTAATGGAATTTAATGCTAAGTTAACTTTACAATTGGCAAACAGGTATGAGTTGTATAGGCAAGAATCAATATTGACATTCATTTTGATGTTTATTAGTTGTTTATTATTTGTTTTTATGGAATAGTCTCAGTATTATTTATTTTATAATAAATAATAATTCAATTATCAGGGACAAATTAATACAAATTTTGCAAACTGAATTGGAGTGCCTTCGAGGTTCTTTCAACGAGGATGGTTTACCATTGGAATCTCCATGCCTTATTCATATATGGATACCATCTGTTTTCCTAACAGGACAGCCCTCTGATATTCATCATGTATATCAAGTAATTATTATGAAAAAAAAAAAAAAAAAAAAAAATTTCGACATTAGATAAGAAAGAAAGAAAAAATTTATTATAATAGTTTTTCATTAAATTTATGATTTTGTAAATTCTAGATATATATACGTATACAGGATATTGAATGGAATATTTACAGGCGATATGCACAGTTTTATGAATTCCATAAAGAATTGATAAAACATGATGCGATTGTGACTGCTTATGAATTTCCTCCAAAGAAAACAATAGGAAATAAAGTAATATATTCAATAAAAATAGAAAGTGAATATAATATATATGAATATTTCATGATTATGATTTTTTGTTAGGATGCTAAATTTGTAGAAGAAAGGAGACAAAAATTACAAGAATGGCTAAGACGTGTTGTTGGACGATTAACACAATGTTCTATATTTTCTTCTAATCCAAGCAGGCAAACTCTTGTATCGTTGTTACCTTTTTTCGGGTAAGTGATTCGTTTTTATTAAATATTTTTGTTATTCTTCCTATTATGTTATTTTAAAATTATAAAATTATAAAAATTATCATTTTAATATATAATGTCACTGTTTTTAGATATAGTTGCTTAACAATATAACTTTTATTTTTAGTGACAGGCCCAATGGCGATAATATAAACAAAAATAATACCACAAAAAATGCACTATCTTCTCCTCAATATATGGGTTTATAATGATTGCTTATATAGACTTTGTATATAAAAGAATTCTTTAATTTAATGAACAAACTGTTTTATATGTATATCTTGAAATAGATGTATTATATCATGCAAGTATATATATATTCTTACATATATACAATTTTTACAGTCAGCATTTATACAATCCAAATATAATAAGCAACTATGATTAGCAATATATCTTTGATAAAATTTTATGATTTTTACTAAAATAATATTTTGCATGTTTAAATATTCATAGATGTTAAAATGTTATGCGATAAGAAATTCAAATTAAACAAATTTGGACATGTTCTGATTCTGATTCGAAAAGGATAACATTAGAATTTACTCATAACAATAATATGAATATATTTAGTAATTATACAAGATAAATGCCACAAGATTTGTGAATTGTATATATCTCGTCTTATAAAAACGTGACTAGGATAAAAGAAGCGAGTATTAAATATTTGTATTTGTGACTTATATTTACGATAAAATATACGATACATTGCAAATGTAAAAAATATTCAGGATTGTATCAGGAATTCAAAAATCATTTATATTTCGTGTTACTTATAAATTTTATTCAATATTTTTTGTTTAATATAATATGAAATAAACTTGCATTTCGTATTTAATCTATCATCTATCGTTAATTTTGTTGCAATTTATTTGGTCGTAATCTAACAATCATGAACGCTTTGGTAAGTAGCCAATGAAGGAAGTTTAGTTATTATTACTATCCAATCAAAATATTTTAGAAAAAAAATGTAGATAAAACGTTAGATTTAGATACGTTTATACCATGCGTAATTTAATTTATATTAATTATGTATTATCAATGAAAATTTCTTGGAAATTTTTTTTGTAAATTCTACATTTTCAAATTGTTATTACGCATTGAGAAACATTTATAAGGATAAAAAATGGCACTAGAATAGGGAAAACTAAGGCATGGTTGCTTTCGTGACATCGATTGCATTTGTAAATGAGGCTTTATCTTTACGCCCTGAGTTTATTCATTTCTTGTAATCAATTGTAACCAATGTAATACATATAATTTTTACAAATCAGTTAATTGTAATTTATTAAGAAATCATTTATACATCGGAAACGTTTTTTCTATCTACTTTATAATCGAGAAAAGTGTTCTGTTTTAAGTTTCAAATTGTTACTACTTTCGTGTAACATGTTCATAATCAGTTTATACCTAATACTTTTAATTATAGTCATTTGATACTAACTGTATGGAAAGGACAAAGTGTGAGCGATTATTATACTCAGTAAGTATGTTTTTGGGATAATGTTTATTCACGCCGAGTGACGTTTTAAATCGAAGTGGTTGCGAAAACATTCGAAAATATTAGTTTGTACATATTTACTCTACTCTTGCAGATTTTCTATTTTTACTATTTTGTCTATTTTTCAATCGCACTTAAATTTCTCTTTGTTTTGATAAGTAGCAGGTCTAAACTTGAGGAAGTGAGAAAATTATATATTGAATTAAAAAGAAAAATGGAAAAGAATAGAGCTTTTATCCATTTCTTTTTGTAGAATCTTTTTTGCCATTGTATGTACATTCTTTGTGAGTTGATTCACATGACTTTCTTTCAATAGTATGATTCATCAAAGACTATTTTCTGAAAGTGCATTTATAAATATCCTTACCAAGGATATCAAATAAATAAAATAAGATACAATATCTATTAGTATAACAATACAGAATATCATAATTTTAATATTAATGTTATAATTAATTAATAACAATTTGTCGTAATAAATAATCATAATATATAATTAATATATACATGTATCTAAATCACATTGGTATTTGTATTATATAACTTTAACAGCTTTCTTAAATATTTGATGTTCAAATATTATTTCTAATGACAATGCTAAGTTTAAGTTCAATGTAATTCCAATGCATTATATGGAATTTGTGTTGAACTACTTTGTGAATTTTTGCTATGTACAAATAATGTATCTACATGCATATATATGTATATGTATATATAAAATGTTTCTTTAATTTCTTCATGTATTTTTCCTTATTTTAGTATAGAAGAAATTCTTGTCCCTGTTGTGCTTGTGCTATAGTATTGTTACTAACAAAGAAAAATTTTGTAATGCTCCTTTTAAAAACTTGAAGGAATTATAAGTTTATAATACAAAGTAAGTAATAGAAAAAATAATTTATAAATGATATAAATAAAAAAAGGTTATCTCAATAAATTAAATAATAGATAATCCACCAATATTAACTATTCATATTTTGATATCTGTGAATTTTTCAGATTTCCACAAAAATTATGGGACGTTACACAGGAAAGAAATGTCGCCTTTTAACAATGTTAGGACTCACAGCGCTTTTATTTTTAGTAGAGATAGTTGTCGGTTATGTGACCAATTCAATGGCTTTAATAGCTGATAGTTTTCACATGTTATCGGATGTAGCTGCATTAGTCGTTGCATTTCTTTCTGTGAAGGTAAGAGTTAGCGATAATATAGAATTAGTATTAAAAAATATAGATAATATAGAGTTGATAATAGTATTTCCTAATCTTTTACTTATTATATTATTAACATTTTAGTAAGTTTATATTTGTTCTTTTTTTTAGATGTCGCCAAAAAAGTGGTCCAAAAACACTTTTGGATGGGCTAGAGCTGAGGTATTAGGTGCTCTTGTTAATGCAGTTTTTTTAGTTGCCTTATGCTTTAGCATTACTGTGGAGGCATGCAAAAGATTCATTGAAGTGGAAGAAATACATGAAGCTAAACTTCTTGTATCTGTGGGTGCGCTTGGTCTATTCGTGAACTTAATAGGTTTATGCTTATTTCGTGGTAACTATCATGCTCTTTATGCTCATTACAAGTTTCAATAAGGTTAAAATATTAATTTATATCAAAAATATAGAATACATTAATTAATTCCTAACATATAGCATAGAAAGGGTAATAAGAGAGAAAAATGATAGCGACATAACATATTTGTGTATATTAGCCTTTCAAAGTAAGCTCTAATGCTTTGGTAAATTTCCTATTTATAAAAAGTTTAGTAATTAAATTTTGTATTTATACATAAATTGTATAGATGTATCGAAAGAGAAAGATACGTAGTTCTTTCAAAAGAGTTAGCCAGCCAAATATTCAAATTGAATGTAATCGTGAATATTATACTCCCTAATTATCATATGCCGTCATTTTTACACTTGATATAAATCAAGAACAACTTATTATAGCATTTTGAATTGTAGATTAAAAAAATACAACGTATATTGAGATTGATGAAATATAGAAAGAAAGGATATTATTAATATTTTTTTATATACATAGAAACTTAAAATTGAATGTAGATAAGTTTAAATTGTTTTATTGTATTATCTGTTATAAGAGCTCCGAAGTAGTCAGTTAATCATAAATTAATTATACATGATTTGTATGTGGCTTCTTAAATTTGTTGGATTAGTTATCCGCTTTATTTTTATCGTTGTAAAATGATTAAAAGAATATTGAAAATAGGAAACGTCCTATTTTTATTTGGGAACAATTATCCTACTTTCAATCAATTGCCTAAATAAATGGATATCACATTTTTTTCTTTTCGTAATAGAAAAAGAAATATAAATACTTATTTAACATTTTATTATTACAGAACATGGAAGTTCTCACGATCATTCGCATGGTATATCACGTAGTCATAACAGACTAAGCACATTAGTAGGCACAGATGACAATGAAAATGACAACACTTACAGACCACCAACGGCACAAGTAAAAAGAACACATGGCCATACACATGATGCAAGTCAAATGAATATGCGTGGTGTGTTCCTTCATGTATTGTCCGATGCAGTGGGTTCTGTCAATGTAATTGCCTCAGCTTTGATAGTGTGGCTTACAAAATGGCAATACAGGTAATATTTTCCGTACACCAGATGCTTGCATGATTGTTAGTCTTTCCATATTGTTTGTATCTTCCTGCAATAATAATAAAGATATAAATTAATTTTTTATATAATAATATATTTATTTATTAGTGATATTATCATTACAATATTAGATTTTAAATCAATTGTTTAAAAATGTAATATTATTATTTTATTCTTTGTTATAGATTTTATATTGATCCAGCATTATCACTATTATTGGTTATTCTCATGTTACGTTCTGTTTGGCCATTGTTTCGGGAGTCGGCACTGATTCTTTTACAAACAGTACCGACACATATTCAGGTATAATAAATAAATAAATTAATTTAAAAAATTAAATAAATTAAAACATAATTAAAAATTTATACAATAATTTTATAGCACTTTTATTTTGTTATAACTTTAATTTAATTGTTATATTTTATATCTTCATGTATATTTGTACATTAAACAAATCTTTTTTTTATTAGGTTGATGCAATACAACAACGTTTATTGGAAAATGTTGATGGCGTATTAGCTGTACATGAATTTCATGTATGGCAACTAGCTGGTGATCGTATTATAGCTTCCGCGCACATAAGATGTAGAAATCTTTCAGAATATATGAAAATCGCAGAACAAGTTAAAGAATTTTTCCATAACGAGGGTATACATTCTACTACAATACAACCAGAGTTTATTGATGTAAGTGCCTTTATTGTATATTTCATTTTTATATTTATATATTTATTACTACACGACAGGTTTTATTTCTTCGCACTTTAATAGGTGAGATTCATAAGATGTCGAGAGTTATGGAAAATTAATTAAGTTCGTTTTTTTAGTATCAATCAAATAGTGAAATTAAAGATACACCAACAGAAGATTGTGTACTGGATTGTCCAAAGACTGATAAACCTTGCAACCATGCTACTTGTTGCGGTCCCTCTAAACAGGTACGCATTTCATAATTTTCAAAATTTCTCATGATTTTAATTTTTTGAATTCTACATTCCGAAATTCTACAGTATTACTTAAAGAGAAGCACCTCTCCCCACACTCCTTATTCAAAGTCTAAATGCCTTGGCCGATGCTTAGAAGCAATAAAATCTGATTCTGATACGATCATAGGTAAACTAATGTTGGGTATATGAAAAAGATACAAAGAGAAATATAAGAGAATTATTTTTATGCGTCCTAATGATAGAATTCATAAGCGTTTAAATTTTATTTCGATAATAATTAATAAAGTATATATTTGCTATGTACTATCATAATCTTAAAACAGATACTTCGTTTTCCTCAATGGTTTAACATTAACATTCTTACTGATATAGGTGCATTGAATAATATTATTATCATTCCTTCACAATATGATTTAATTTACAGGGTCGTGAATCTCCTTCGCCGGGGGAAACACCATATATGTGCAGGCAGCGTAACAGCTTGGCACGTTCAACTACTTCTTTAGGAGGTACAAAGCAACAGGAAGTGAACGAGATGGAGCGAGGACATTTACTTTCTCTATCTGGTTCTCATCATTCCATCCAACTTCCCCATTCTCATATTAACACGCCGACAGTTTGAATTATTCTTTGATAACCATTCGCCTACCTCTATAGCCGATTACGCAACGTAAAGAAATGCTATTGTACAAATATAATAAATTAATAATTTGATTATGCACTACTTTCGTTACTATCGTAATTAACAATAGCATTAATTTCCAATTAACGTATGGCGTCATTTATCAAATTTCATTATATCGGTTATAATTAAGAAAATTCATTATATATACATCAGTCTAGACAGTAATAATATTGTACAAAAATGTATATTATTTTATCTGAATCTAATTGCAAAAGATTCTGTTTTGTAAATTGCCTTAACCGTTGATTTTCTTGTTAATGAAACTACGAAAATTGAATATTTAAATATCGAAGGCATATTAATACCAAACGAAATACACTATACGTCAAAAAGACGTAATAATCATGAATATAAGTCCTAGTTGCCTTGGAAACTATTTATATCTCTGTACATATTCAATTAACAGTTTTGCGATACAAAATTTTATGAGGATTGCTTAATTCGTGTAAAATGATTATACTTTGAAATTTATAAAACAGAAACATAAATAATATATAGCATTAGTTCTTAACAGTATTTGCGTATTAAGTATATATTTGTATGAGCTATAAATGATAATATTTGTAATTTAAATTGTCTTATAAAGCTCTGTAAGATAATATAATTAAATTCAATAGTTACGACCCCTATGTCTATATATTTAAGCTATATGTCATAATAAAATTATTACTAGCACATTTACAAATTCATCAAAAAGATTTGAATCGATACATTTTTAATTGTCATTGAATTGAAATTTAATTTATTAAATTTGATAACATGTCGCAAATAAAGTATAACAATAAAAAAATTATTTTCTTCTATTTTAAAGAAGTTGCTATATCGGATATGCATATAGAAATTTGAATTCTTTGTAACATTTAAAAAATATTTCACAGCACATTAAACGAATAATATTCGAACCGCAAATTATCTCATTTATCGGCTGTGTTGAAAATCTACACCTATTACAATAAAATTCGTTAATATCATCAGTATTTACATCACTGTCCAACACATTCTGATTCCTAAAATGTTATACAAAGACCAATTCTTGAGTTTTTTTGGGGGCATTGATTTCAAAAATAGCAACAGTTTTATTTTATCAATTACAGTTTTGGAAATACGGCATAATAGTTTCATATACAAATTCAACAGATTGTCCATAAAAATTCAGCATCTTTAATTATATGATCTACTATGTTTCTATATGATTCGAAAAATATTAGTGAAATTATTATTACTAATTACATATTGTCACATACTATTAAATCAGTTAAGTATATAATATGATCAATTATTCAACATATAAAAAGTTTCTTTTATAGAACTTCCTAGCGTGAGATCTACGAAGAACAGTATCATTAAAATAAATTCTTTTCTTTGAAAATTTGAATATTAGCAATTAAAAAGATCTCTTTGAGAAATTCAGATCTCACATTAAGTCGATCAGTTTATGTTGGTTAAATTTTTAAAATTTTGATGAATTTCCTATAAAATAACTGTTCATTTATGTTATCTTGAATTTCATCAAACATGTGTGATTTATCATTCTCTAGAAGTTCTGATAGGTGAATGAAAAATAGAATAAGTACTTCATTTGGGTGTGGCTGAGGTTACCTTGTTTAATCTAGGTCTGGTTATGTCTACTTGCTACAATTGTTTCGTTTGATGTTCTTGATGTTGACAAGACAAAAATAGCAATCTGAATGAGGATCTTAGGATTCCTTCTAAACTTTTGGTATACCAAATTTAATGTAGTTCCTCTTTTCGTTTGTTCATTGCAGCTAATTTTCCATGCAAATATATGAAGCCACAACTTACCTTGATCTCCAAGTTTGACATGAAAATAACTAAAATATGCCCTCTTCACAAATTCAGGGATAGGTTTCTTAATATCTTTCAAAATGCAATAGTCAGAGACTTTTGCAAGTAGGAAAAGACATTTGGATGGTTTAGATAGTTTCTTCTTGAGGAAGCCATGATGTACACTTAAAATATAAAAATAAATTAATCATATTAAACTATAATCATATTATATTATACAAATAAAGGAATCACATTAAATTCTTAAGTTGAACTTATATTAGAGATTCGCAATATTCCATTTTTGCTCTGAAAAATCATAATTAAAAATTATTACTTTATTATTAAATTATAATTTCTGCATATCAATATCTATGCTATATGTCAAAACTACAGCTGATATAGTGAATCCGATGCTATTATGAAATTTGCACACCAAATATACTCAAGAATAGGTTTAATTTTCAAAGCACTAGATTAAAACTTATTTTTGTTGCTGTTATTCTTATTAAAAAAAAAATTGCTCAAACCATAACGAAAGTCTTGACAAATTCAATTGATTTTATATATTCTAATTTAATATTTATATAGCGTGCAGGAATTTGGCGTAATAAATATAAATTACTATAAATTTAGATCTTAGAATAACGAATGTTTCCCGCAATTTTGGTATATAAAATGGTCTATCAAGTATCAAGGCGTATGTACGTATCTAAAGTCTGTTGGTAAAGTAGTTTTCAAGAAAGATGGCGCGCAGGTAGAAGAAGCGAAACGACATAAAAAGATCAGTGTCTCACTGGCAACGAGATAGATTAGATTGTTTAGTGATGTACGCAAGCATATAAAATAACATATATCGACAAATTGACGGGATAAAGTGCATGAAAAGTACAGATATTGCAACGAGAAGGAGCAAGCAATAGAAATAAATAAAATAAAATAAAAGACAAAAACTGTGAGAGGAAGAAAAGAATGACACATTGATTTTGGTCATGATATACTAGAAAAGTATATCGATGTAAGGAGTATAATAGAAAAATGTCACAGCGATCGTCGGAGATACACTTGGTCACAAGAAATCTTTTGACAAATAGGTGAAGATGGAAGATGAAGCTGACCTCAGGGAGCAGCTCTTTCACAATACTGTGCGGGAGAACATCGTGAGTAAAATTGTTCGTTAAAAGTCGTCAAAAATCGTATTGATTTTAAGGGCTGCCATAATAGAAGCATAATAGATGCTACGATGCTTCGATGGATGCGAAAAGCGTTCTTGTTCGGAACGGGAACGTTGATGCGCGGCAAACGGAAAGACGAGATTATCATCATGTTTGTTTCTGTCGCTTCTTTTAAAAGAAATTTTTTCGTTTTCTTTTTTCTTTATCTACTAAAATATAACGATTTTATTTCTTTATTTAACGACGGGGAGAAGAGTAACGATAGCATATCTATTTTCTGTGCGTAAGAAGTAATGGGGGAAAAAAAAAAAAACGCCAATTTTGGTTTCTAATGATTTTGCAAAAGTCGCAATGTCGGATATCAATGACAAACTTTGGGAATTCCGGTGAGAAATTTATTTTCATATTCAAATTCGAATAAATCTAAATTAATTTTTTTGTCTTCTTATTAAACAATAAAAAGTAACGAAAGCTGTGAAATCGTGATGGTACTTTTCGTAGCTAAAATTTCAAACGAACGAATATGCTCATTTGATTACATAAATCTTCTATTTTTCTGTGTATATATATATGTATTGCTAAGTATGTATAACAAGTGATAACGTTCAAATAACGCATAGTAAGTATTATAAACAATATTGGTCAGTTTTATTTGGAAATTGTGCAATTTATTCATGTTTAATTATACGTATTTTTTTCTTTTTATCTTTTTTTTATTTGGAATTTTTTTCTTTTTTTTCAATTGTTAATATTGTTATTTTTATAGAAAGATAATAATTGGTCTTTTCAATTTTCGATCATCCAATACAAAATCCGCATCATAAAATAAATAATAACATTAAATAATGATATTTCTTCGTTTCTTCCAATAGAACAATTTATAGTTTTATCGTTAGCGTGATTTGGATTATCAATTATCCATAGATTAATGATGTAATCTGAGCCAAAATAGTTACTTGAATTCAAGAAGAGAAATAACGTGACTAATTCATAAAAACTAATTGATAAATTTATCATTTGACTAAATTTATTTTTCTCTTTGTTTTGTCTATTGTAAATCTATTCGGTAAAGGAAAAAGAAATCAATCTGTGCTAGGAGTCAGTTATATAAAATGTAAGTTACTAAAAAACAGTTTTTTAAATCCGAAATAATCTCTGTTTAAAAAGTTATTTCTTTCTCATTTTATTCTTCTTTCGATTTTTTCCTACTTGCATTTGTAATTTAAAAAAAGAACACACATGAATATGTTTAAATGGCCAAGTAAACATGCGAATATATTATAGATGGACCGAAGCGTAAAAGCTTTTACGTTCCGCGAAAAAGGACGAAGAGCTGTTTGACTGTCGGACATTTCTTTTTTCGATCTTCGACCGGTTTTTCTTTTCACATTCTTAATGCAATAAGAGATCGGCCTACCGACTTACATTTAAGTTAGCGAATTATGTAAATAATAAAAGAAGGAGACTAGACCGCGGGAGAGGTAAGAAATGAGAAATCGCGGAATGCAGTTTATCCCAATGAACATTCCGTCAAATGTCCCGAAGGAAAAGATGTATCCTCGGCTATTATGTGTAAGGTTGTGTATATATTGTTGACCAATCGCTGGCGACCACTAGATTCAAAAGAATATATGAGCGAGTACGTGTTTGGTCGCAGCGAACAAGAAAACAAGCGATCATTGAAATACATTTATATTACAAATCAAATGCACGCGTTCGCACTATAAGCAACTTTCTTGGAGATTAGACATTGGCGAATGTAGTCTTCAAGGGGTCTGAGGCGTCTCCACTACCTATGCATAAATCCCCACTGAGACCAGAAATTACAATACTGATATATTCGAGTTACCGAATTTGGTCATCTGGTTTTTGGTCTTTCGTCGACCTGGTCACTGGCGACTGGTCAACAGTGCGCACGCAGTCTTACCTTGCGTTCTCTCTTAGCCAGTTTGTAGAAATACTAATCTCATGCAGACGAGTTGATACAAGCCTCAAGGAGTCGCAAGTAAAAGCAGCAATTCTTCGATTATTGATTAACAGGATTTAATCTTTGCCCATCTCCTGCTTTCCTTTTCCTTAGTCTCGTGAAACGCGGAAATTTCTTATTTACTCATTTTTCATAGCATATAAAGATAATTCTCTATGTAATATATATGTACGTATTTTTATTTTTTTATGCCTTGTATGTACCCGTATATACATGCTCGTTAAGCGGTTAAGTTTATACACATATATATATATCTGAAAACGATATATTATGGCATTATAATATCTACGTGTTAATGATTCGTAATGTCTCTGCTTTTTCATTTCCTCCAGTTGTGCAACAAGATTAAATTTCACACTGAATGAAACGGCGCTGTTGCCAACGATACGTGAGCTTTCTCTTTGACGTCAGGGATGCGGTTTAAAAAACAAAGTTTCTGCGAAACGCGTTTGAAAAAAAGCGATCGCAACGATGTAATGCTATGTTTATAGAAATCAAGATATTTGTTGTCATCGATTCTTGATACGAAAATAGATCCGTAATTATTCTTAATATGATCTTTCTCCCTCTTTTTTTTCTCTGAGCCGAGTATGCGCTGCGTTACGCTCATGGTCGTGTACACATTGGCACTGAAACGAAAGAGAAGATGCACAGGACAAAGATATTTTACGTTTTATTCATTTACTACTTTTTCGACACATTTTAAGAATCAAATACTTGTATTAACATGTATCGTAAATGTATTTAGTATCGAGGTTATAACTTTCTTATACTCTTTATGAGGTTATCTTGTTAAGTATGATATTTTCTTATTTTTGACGATTACATTATTCAGCAATAGTCGAAGAAAATTCTCAAAATAATTATTACAAAACAATTTCAATAGGATTATTTCTTTAGAATTATTCTTTATTTAACTTATATTTATATTATTTTTATTTTTTGTTAGTATTTTCATTAATAAGAAAGAGTAACAGTAGATTTACATTGAATATTCGCTATACTTATAAAAGAGACTCGTTTAAAATCAATAGTATCGACAACTAATCGGTACAAACGTCGGATCTTTTAATCGATAAAATTTAATTTTTAGTTATAAGTATATTCTTTGTTTGAATCGGCTATCAGTGAAGCTAATCAGGCAACAAGGTCGAGAGAGAAAATAATCGAGTTTCGTGCTTGATGAAGTTTCGCGACATGGATTCGCGTTTTCGAACGTATGACATTCTCAATGTTCCTTTTGAATGATGAAAAGAATCTATGAAAAGAATCTCTATCGACCGCATAAAATATTTTTGGATACCAATTTTTTTACATAGTATTTTTTGTACATAATTTGTATTTCGAATGTTAAATTTGAAAGAGACTGGAGAAAAATGGTTGATAGGATAAGGAGGACGTAAGATTAGAAAATGCGAGCCCTGAAATAGAATATCGCATGTAATAATTTGCGTTCGTAAATAGATATCGCTCTCGTGCATAAGTAGCTTTTGGCATAGCTGATCGTTCGCTTTTGGCATTAATCGGGGCAATGTTCGCTATTGAAATGTATTTACTTTAGTGAGGATTTAGATGATTTCCATAAATTACATACGCGTTGCATAGAGATTACGAAGAATAGATGTAGGAAAATGTTTACTATCTATAAAATGCAATTAATTTCATATATATTCGTGCTCTTAAATGTTTAATCTAAATCTAACCGCTTTTACGGTTAGATTTTTTAGTTTATTTATTAACTTGTCACACGTACTTGACCTACATATTTACTGTAGGCTCCTTAATATTTTATAGATTACATTAGATGAGTCATGCGTCCCTGTTCTTGTGACCGCTACAAGAAGTATTATAGAAAAAAAGTAAAGTTATAAGAATTAAAAGTTTAGAAAATCGTGGTTTAAGCATTGTTGCTGTTTTTTTCTTTTCTTGTCCTTTTATTCATTTGTAATAACATTGATTTTAATCGCACATTTGAACAACCATATGAACTTTTATATTATATTAGGAAAGTATCGTGAAAAGTACAAATGCATCTCTTTTAATCGAACTATGTTTTTAATATTTAACGTCATTTTTTTCTTTGCCCCAATAGCGTATTTAAACTTTTCTTTTTTGCTTATTTAACAAATTTTGCTTAATAGCATATTTAAACTGTTTATTTTTGTTTAAGTATGGAGCATGGAGAATATTTTGTCACACTTGAAGAAATAATAGATACGACTAAAAATTCACATTTACAAAAAGATAGAAATTTGTCAATTTTTTCCATAATAAGAAAGATTAATAACTTTCAACATAAGAAAAATTAATGATAGTGTTACTTTCGTGAACTTAAACGCAGATGATTTCGTTCGTGTCTCACCGTATTCTTATTTCTTATCTTATCGTTTGTTCTTTATGAAAATACATAAGATTGCTTCATTTTCAATAAAAACGTCATCAATGATCGTTAACCATCATTAGTGATAAAAATTATAAGGTTTTAATACGGTTTTGAGCCCATTTATTCTGTATTTCAGTAAAAGTAAGCATGTCCAGAAGTTTTGTCACTTTGCTTGCAAACCGTTGTGGTTGCTTCAAAAAATGCTCGTTAAATGATCCGCTATAAGTGTAACATAAATTTATGTTACATATAATTTGTCATATAATTTGTATGAACGATAAGGATTATATTTCGAGTTAGTTTGTTTCCTTGTTCGAACTGCATAAAATTGTGTCGACAATCCTCAACAGTGTCAAATAGTTCATGGTGTAGCATGAAATAAAAAAGCGAATTGAAAGACAACTTCACACGTGTATTTCGATTATCATAATGTAACATGTTGAGGTCTCGCCGATATTACCGTTTGACGTGGACGGTAACGTGTCACATTTACAAATATGTACTTTATGTAGTAGGTTGTCCGGAAAGTTCGTGCTGATTTTGTCATTACGTTACCTACCACAAATTGGCACGAACTTTCCAGACAACCCAATATTATTAAATTCATACGCGGACAATGGCCAAATTGAGTGAACGAATAACGAAAATGGCTTATTAATTATGTCCAATAAAATTAAGGAACATAAAATATTAGCATTATCGTTATACGTTGACATCATCTTTGTCGTAATCTTATACCTAACCTTAATTAAGAAGCAATGCTTATGATCAAACGTAATTTTGCAATGATAGTGAGAGAAAGAAATAATGCAATGTATAAATAAAATCATAAAATAAATAAAATGTATAAATAAGATATCAAAGTTACGCGCACGCAGTACCTTTGCATCAATTTTATACAACGCGTTTGTATAACATTTTTTCGATCCCTTTTAATATTTTTTATTTTCTTTGTTCTTTAGATATTCCTCCTTCTTTTCCTTCTACTTTGCATTTCGAGCTATGCACTGATTGCGAGATTTCGTCGAAGGGAGCGAGAAGATTATTTTTCGGTAGATGAAGATGATGCCACTGTTTATAGGATCAGTCTTTTATTGTGTACCGTTGCTTTAGCAGTGTCTATTGGAGCAACGTTGTTACTACCTGTGTCCATCGCTAGCAATGAGGTTCTCATATTGTATCCTAATAGCTATTACGTCAAGTGGCTCAATAGTTCTCTCATACAAGGTGAAACCTTACTTGATCAACTATTTTACTCCATTTGTTCATGTCTTTAGTCCATGAATTTGAAAGCACTGAAATATTATACATTTATGTTGTAGGACTTTGGAACCATGTTTTCCTCTTTTCCAATTTATCTCTCTTCGTGTTTTTACCATTCGCCTATTTATTCACAGAATCGGAAGGATTTGTCTGTTATAAAAAGGTAGGCTTTCAGGAAAGTGTATATAGTTTTTATTTCTCTCAATAGATTATTTATTTGATATAAATATTTTTATTATCAGAATTAATGGAATTCTTCATTGTAGGGTGTTATGGCTAGAGTATATGAAACTGTAACAGTTTTGTGCCTATTGGGAACACTCGTGCTGGGAATGGTTTATGTTTTGTCTGCTCTCATAGATTATCAGAAATCTAGTCTCCATACATTATTGAGTAAGTTTATAAAAAATATCAAAGTAAAATAATAAAATTAATAAAAAGTTAAATGGAGAGAATGACAATTAATTACATTTCTATTTTTAATCTAATTGTTTACATATATGAATGCAATTTCAGATATATGGAGCTATTATTTACCTTTTCTCTACTCTTGTGTCTCTTTCGTGGGTGTAATGTTGCTATTATGTAAGTATTATTGAATATACAAAATTAAAAATTTTGGAACCAGAAAGATAGCAAAAGAGAATAAAAATGAAATTGTAATTTTTTCTAGTATGTACCCCAGTTGGATTTGTGCGATTATTTGGTGTTGTGGGCTCGTTTCTCGTAAAACCTCAGTTCCTAAAAAATTTGGACGAAGAATTTTTTGCTTATAGATTAGAGGAGGATTGCATTAGAAGAAGGTTGGTGGAAATTATTCTTTTTTTTGCCTCTTTTTCTTTTGTATATCTAATCTTTCTTGTTGTTTCTTTTTTCTTCTTCTCAACGTAGACTGCAACACGCAAAAGCGACAGGTAAATCGTATGTTTCGCCAGTACCTATGTCCTTACCAGGTTGTAATGCAACGGTCGAAGACGACGAACTTCTTAATCTAAGTCCTGGATTAATGTGCCTCAGAAATGGCGCTCTTCAACGTGGACTGGCCCAGAGATTAGAAGATGTTCAAAAGAAAAGAAACATTTTAGACGAACAAAGACGGACCTGGTGGGTACGAAGAACACTACTTTATCCTTTGGCAATGATCGCTCTATTTATTCTCTCCACTGCCACGGCCTTATTAGCGGTTCAGAATACCTTGGAACTTCTTATCGGTATTAAAGCTCTACCATTAAGTACGAGGGTTTGTATCGAGATTTTCTTTTGTATTTTTTAAGATAATTATCAAAAGGCTAAATTATAACTGGTGATAATGTAAATTACATAGCAATTCACACTGGGCATCAGTTCGTTGTCGAAACTCGGACCTATCGGAGCTACCGTTGAAGTCTCGGTGATACTTTACCTAGCTGCAACGAGCGCGATTGGACTTTATTCGCTTCCAGGAGTGAGAAGGGTACAACCACGACTTCGTTCTACTCCACTTACGCATCTCATCGCCAATTGCGTTCTTTTACTTGTACTCAGTTCGGCATTACCATTGCTTTCTCGAATATTAGGTAAACTAGTAAAATGACTCATTGACATACTTTTTGTCAGTTTTTGTTGCTATTTCCAATTTACAAGCTAACGTATCGTCAACATTTTTATTCCTTTATTATTTCAGGAATGACGAATTTTGATCTGCTGGGAGACTTTGGTCGTATAGAATGGCTTGGCAACTTTAAACTCGTATTCTTGTATAACTTAATTTTTGCTACGGCGGCAATCAGTTGCTTAGTTACGAAATTTACAGCAACCGTAAGAAAAGAAATTTATGCCAGATTGAGGAGTAGTTTCGTAGGCATATTTAAAGGAGAATGCAAAAAGAATTCATTGGCAATGTTTTCTACAAAGGAAGAATAGACTGATATATCGTGAGGAAGAAACAACAGAAATGTATACTTCTTATTCATTGTTTACTAGGAAGCAAAAAGCAGTGATATAACGATAAAAAAAATTTTTTCTTGATTTGTTTAATCGTATAAAATTATGTAATATCGAGAATTTTTAAAGGAAAGACTTTAATTATTTGCACTGATTGCAATCAAAATGTTAGATTCTAACGGCGTGTATCATCTCACTTGTTTATTCTTTTAAAATTTCTCCATCAGGACAAAAAAGCAAAAGTGCGAGGTTAATTAAAATAAATAATATAATTCTGATATTGAATATAGTACTAGCGATTATTTATCATATAATTACTATTCTAATTATTATTTATCTTGAAGCATAATATACGCGTCTATCTTACGAGTGTTTAATAAAAATAAGTCGGAGGTAGTCACGACAATGACAAGACAGTATTATGATAAAGACAAAACAGACGTATCAAATGGATGCGTAAACTTTCGATGGCATATTGCATAATGCGTATTTGGCTTTATCGTAACTTTCTTCAAAAATTCCGCAGACAATCTTTTTTCTATCAAATGGTTCGTTGAGGGAAAAATTTTTTTTTCTGTTTATAGCATGAAATTCTAACCTTTATAATTTAAATTTCTCTTATATAGCAGAAAATAGCTAAAATTTTACTCGCCCATTGCCAAAATTTACAAGTAAATGCATTTCAATCGATTTTGTACGAACATTTACTTATTGCAATGCATTTCACAAAAATGTTGTCGTCACTATTTTTGTTTATCGTGAAATTGCCTTGTTATAAAAGAAATACATATGTGATGGAAATGAATAATTAATAAGACAAAAAATAGGAGGACGTTGAAAAAGTAATGATACTTCTTAATGAGTCTTTCGTTGTCCTTTGATAAAATAATAAATTAATAACATGCATTTTAATGCATATAGACAGACTGTATGCAATGCTTTAAAGTTAATGGAGAGGAGGTAATAAATATTATTTATCTTGCTTATAAAAAACAGTTGATATAAATGGAATCGATTCAATATTTATCAAAATGCAAATCTTTAAGTAAATATGTATTTTTACACGTGAAAGCTTTAGATCCTCTGTATCCATGACTATTTAGCATCTGTATTAGTGCTAGGTAAATTTCTTAGATTTTTTGCAGCAATATTATGTGATAATACATCTCGTCAAGAAGACAATACAATATTAAGACGTGCACTGGCACTAACATACTCATGATATTTTTTATATATTACGTATATAGGATATAATTTCTCAGGATATAAAGTGTACTGTTTTACACTTATGTTATACATTCTTCAAGTGATGTCATGAAATTCTTGCTTATTTTTACGACAAATTAATTTGTCAAACTGAAGTGTTTTATTGGCATCATTGACTTAAAAATATTATATTATATTTTTCTCGAAAGACATCGTTCATGTACGTGTGTGTGTATGTGTGTGCGCGCGCGTGTATGGTATAAAACTCGCGCTGATAAAAAATCTGTAATATACTTAATATCTAGAAAATCCTACGAACACGTTATTGTATATGTAACATTTTTTTTATATTATGGGATAAAAGTTTTTATAAACGTTATAATACTTTATCCGCCGATATTATCTGTACCATAGTTAAAAATATGTAAATAATGTTATTTATTCTTGTGTATGTACACTTGCACATACAATTTTGTGAAAACAAATGAATCCTGATTCAATTTTTAAATATTCCTTAAAGTCTATAAATGCCGTTACTCAGTAACGTATAACTCGTATTCATCAAACAAATTGAAAGATATAATTTAAACTCAAAAAATCAAAATTACAAGCTACGCTTTTCAATGAAAATTGAATATACATTTTCTTAAATTTGTATTAGTTTATTATTAATTGTTACATGGTTTTAATCCATAACGACGTAATACTTCAGTGCAGTATTTCAGTTTGATACCTTTACGCAATATTTTGTACTGACCAGTTTGTGATAAATCTATTACTGTAGAACCTAATCTTTGTAACTCACTAACGTTTTTTTTATTTTCTGCTTGCTGGTAAAAAATTCCTGCTAATTCTGGCCATAATTCAGAAAATTCATTAGGATGCACACTGCTTAGTTTATTACTTTCATTAGCGCTCGTAAGTGCTAATGGTCCTGCTAATTTAGCAACAGATCTGATAAATTTATAATCAGGTACTCTGATGCCAACATTATCAATTCCAGGATTTAAAGATGGATTCAATGCTTTTGTTCGTTTCAATACAATAGTAAATGGTCCTGGCAATAAAGTCTCTTTTAGAAAAGGCGGTAATTCATCTATAATTCCCCATTGGTGAATGTTATTTACATTATCAATGCAAATAGCTAATGGCTTGTGTTGATCTCTTTTTTTAATTTCATATAATCTTGTTATAGCTTTGTCATTTTTTATGCTACCAGCAAATCCATAAATTGTGTCTGTTGGTATAGCAATGATTTCTCCTTTATTTAATAATTCTACGGCTATTGCAATGCTTCTATCACCTCCAATAAACCAATGCTTTTCTTCTGGACCCAGCAAGTTTATTTGTTCCGCCGCTGCATTTAAGAATACTTTCATGGGACCCATTGTGCTTGGATTCATGATTGTTCTTTGCTGATTAATTTTCAGATATAACTGTCAGAACAAAAAAAATCAATAAATATTGTGATATAAATAAAAGAAATGATTCTGAAATACCTTTAATCGCGCCAATTGTGACCACATTGTGGATTACAACATTTATAGAAAGTTGTCATAGGCTCATCAGCTGATCTTGTCTGTATTTGCATGAAATATGCACGTGGATTTGTACACTTTGGGCAACGTTCTTCTGTAGAATCAACATTTTCCCATGCTGCGCTTCCACCTAACACATCATCTACTTCTTTTAATTTTGGATAAGTACGACTACTAACTTTGCGTGCTATGTTAAAAATATAAGGACAGGTGTTACAAGCAAATCTCAATCCTGTATACTCTTCAACATGGAGAACATTACCACATGTTGGACAAAAAAGAAGCATAACGTTTTAATCATTTAATGTATATCTGAAATATAAACAAATATATTTTGAGATTTTTTATTTTATGATATTCACTATACTTTAAATATAAATGAAATATGAAAACAAAATAATAAATAAAATTAATTATTTAAATATTATACATTTAGGACCACTTTGACCAAGCTTGGTTAACATTAATCAATGATTAAATCGATCAGCATTGTAGCAAATAATAAAACTTTTAAGAAGTTTATACATATTATAGAATAGATACAATAATAGTTAAAATAAATTATGAAAATACATACATACATTTTCGTACTATAAATAAAATTTTTAAATGGTTACTGATGTCTTGGAAATATAGGTTAAGAATGATATAAAGTTAAAAGTTTTGCTGTTAGCTATACGAAGTATCTCTAAAGTTTCATCAGAAAATGAAATTAAATACTATTTTAACATACGTAAACATTATGTATGTTATTATGACTTTAAATTGCAGTTTAAACCCGTTTTTTAGTTTCTTTTCTTTTATTAGAAACTTTATGATTTATGTAAAATTATGGTATATTTATTAAAGATGATTAAAAAATATTTATTAAACAATTACAAAAGCATGTGGCAACCGTGACTTGAATAATGTTTAAAATATGCTGAGTACTCACATGTTAAATTAGTTTCCTCAGAAACAAGCAGAGTTGTCAGGCTCTTATACATGGAATATATGACGTCACATTTCCCCAAATGATACTCCAATACTCATCACTTGCGTCAATTGACGTGAACTATGCTTATGATATGCATCGCATCTCTACCTAATAAACTAACCTTAACAACTTTTCTTACTAATAATCTTACTACTTTTCCTCCACTATTATATGATTTTTTTCTTCTCTGGATCTGCTAATGCTGAATACAAAAAAATGAAATCTCTGATGTAAAAAGTTTACTATAAATATAAGTTCTATTTACAACAAATCAGGTGGCAGAAATACATTGATTTTGAGAAGGTTTTAATTTCGGATTTGAAAAGAATAACGTTTAAATTTCTGATAATAATATTAATGTTTTTAATTACACTATGTCGTAATTGCATTTTTAGTTGCACGTGTTACTTTTTTGTGGCTATAATCGAAAAAGAAAACAAGTGTGCTTTCCTATTATTTACATTACTTTACATTTAACAAAAAGAAGTGTTTCATGCTGTAAAACATATCACTTTTTAATACTGTAAAATGTTTAATTTTAGTGTTGTATTTATATTTATTTTCTTAATTATATTCATTTTCAAAGTTATCAAACATATTATAATATTATGATTACTCGTTTCTCTAAGTAATACCATGAACACATAATCTCGATAACTTTAATGCTAAATTTCAAAATAAAGCGCGTATACTATGATAATTTGTGATTGGTTGTCCAGGATTATACCATAAATATTTCATTCTTTCAATATTATTGATTTAACATTACATTTATAAAAGAGATGCTTATTTATTGCTTGGTGTAATGACAAACTACATTAATACTTCTGTGTTATATCTTTATAAATGGATGTTTACTATTGATTAAACTTTACGTTTTAGGCTAATTATGTCATGAACTATACGTTTTATATTTTAAGAGTACGTCTTATATCCGTAAAGAATTTTGTGTGGCTTAATTTTCCTGTGGCAACACTGTGTTACGCATATTATGTGTTTGTTGTTTACTGTACTATATTATTACGGAAAGTGCGTGTAGCTACTTTTATGCCTCGAATGCACATGTATCATATGAACATAGTATGTTATGATTCGATTATTGGAGGGTTAAAAATAAATTGTATACAATATTAAGAAAAATGGGTATAACGACAAAGCAGGAGACTCATCGACCAGGAGTTTGTAAACAAATTAATAAAGCACATAAAACAGGGAGACATCGAAGTAAAGGTACTATTGGTAATGAGATTAAAGGTAAGTTAACAATCTTATTCTCCGATTTTTTATATTGTGCATAGTATATGAAAAGAATACATCTTGACAACTTTAAATACTTTATTTATATGCAGGGAAAACTAATATAAAAGTTATATCGAAGCAAATTCATAAAAATTTAAACAGAGATGCGCGAAGACATCAGTCTTCGCAACTCAGAAAGAAGAAGAGAGAAAAAGTTTTAGCGCAAAAACGAAATCTTGGTGGCACCCATTCGGCCCCTATTCTCATATGCATAATATCACTACAAGAAGATTTGGTATTAGAGCAGATTGTTTCAAAATTCAAAAATGCAGATGACACTATAAATGTTTGTACGAGTCCATATGGAATTACTTATATAAGGTACTTTGTAGTACATCTAGTGTACATATATACACACCAATAAGATAGCAATCTTGAACAAAATATTAACATAAAAATTATTTTCATTTTATAGTATACCTAGATTTAAACAACGTTTTTCAATTATTGTTCCTCCTATTGGTAACATTATTGCAACGTTGGATGCAGCTAAAGTCGCAAATACTGTGCTTTTTGTTGTTTCTGCTACCAATATGGCAGATGGGACTATTAGAGAAGAAATTCTAGATGCATGGGGTAATGAAATAATAGTCTCTTGTTTGGGACAAGGTTTGCCTACTACTATTGTTGCTGTTACGAATGTAAACAAACTACCTTTCAAGGTTAGGTTTTATATGAATAACCCATCGTTATACTATTTTTATAACAGGATCACTATTATTAAATTAATATATTTGTGTATGATAGAAATGTCAAGACTATAAACAACATGTAATACAGACTCTTTCAAAGTGGCTTCCTGAAGAAAAAGTTTTCCATTTGGATAAACCCATTGATTCATTGAATATTTTACGTCGGGCAGGTACACAAAAACAAAGAACTGTATCATATAAAGCAAAAAGGCCGTATTTGTTAGCGGAAGATTTAAAGTTTAAATCTAATGAGGTATACATATATGAAATAATTAATTCATATAATGAAGTAATAATGTTTGAAAAAGAATCGTTATTTTTTACTAGGATTCGGTTGATCATGGAACTCTTATGGTCACAGGATATTTGCAGGGTTTAGCATTATCTGCAAATGATTTAATACATATCTCTGGTTTAGGAGATTTTCAAATGTTACAAATCGATGCCGTTGATGACCCATATCCGATAGATAAGAATAAATCGAAGAAGCAATCTGAATTTGTAGAAATTGATATGAAGAGTGATATTTCAGTCAGAGTACTCGAGCATGCAGATTGTAACAAACAGGTGAGTTTCTGTCTGATACACACATGTTTGTTCGGATTTTATTAAGATTTAGAGGATTTCGATTGCTTTTAGGAATCACTTGAAAGTGAAAACATACCAGATCTAATGGATGCAGAACAAATTTGGCCTACTGAAGAAGAATTGGCACAGGCAGTAGCTGCTCAAAAGAAAAAGGTTGTAAAAGTAGTACCAAAAGGCATGTCTGAATATCAAGCAGCTTGGATTCTTGATGAGGATGCTGGTATGTACGTTATATAATTTTACATAAACAAATATTGCTTATCTTTATATATTTAATTTATTTATAATATTTTCCTATAAAATATTCAGAAAATGAATCTGATGATAATATGTCTGTGGATGGTATAAAGTCTCAAGCAAATAGCGAAGCTGACATGGCATCCGACGAAGAGTATGAAACAATTACAATATCAGAGGCGGCACCTGATGAACGTATGTATGATCAGAATATTGATATGATGGAAGAAAAGGAAGCTATGGAGAAAATAAAGCGTAAGTTTGAAATGTGTGTAAAGAAAACTAAAAAGCCAATTATATAATATAATCATCTTATAATATTTTGACATGTACAGAAGCAAAATTGGACGTTCAGTTTCCCGACGAAGTGGATACACCTCAACATATGTTGGCTAAAATTAGATTCCAAAAGTATCGTGGACTTGAATCATTTCGAACAAGTCCTTGGGATCCCAAGGAAAATTTACCGCTGGACTATGGACGCATATTTCAATTTGAAAATTTTGATCGAACGCGTAAACGAATATTCAAAGAAAATCAGGAATTAAGTGCTTTGGTAAGTAAGCAATTTACAGAATTTCTTTTTTATAATTAATTTTGTGTATTACATAGAATAAAAATATATATGATAACATTCACAGCCTGGTTCGTACGTTACGCTTCATGTTGCTAACGTTAAAAGAGATCTTTTTACTGCATTCTGTACATTAGACAATCGGCCATTAATCGTTTTTGGACTACTCCCAAACGAACAAAAAATGTCTCTCCTAAATATTGTATTAAATCACGCTAATAGTTATCAGCAAGCTATAAAGTCTAAAGAAAGATTAGTGTTCCAATGTGGATTTCGAAGATTTTCGGCCTGCCCAATATTTAGTCAACATACAAATGGATCTAAACATAAAGTATGTTATTAGATAAATATTTAAGATGAATGATCGTGATATTTATTAGATTTTGAACGATTAATTAATTCATATTCTAGTATGAGAGATTTTTCCATCCAGAAACGACTATAGTTGCGAGCATGTATGCACCAATTATCTTCCCACCATGCCCGGTTTTATGCTATATCGAGCAAAAAAATGGTAGTTTAGTGAGTAAAAATCTTTTTTTTAAATAATTAAATTTAATATATGTATAATATAATTGGCACTCAATGAAAATATTGACCTTTTTTTTTAAGGATCTAGTTGCTACTGGAAGCGTTTTATCCGCTAACCCGGATAGAATTATTGTAAAAAGGGTAATTCTAAGCGGGCATCCCTTTAAAGTACATAAACATTCTGCTATAGTTAGGTTTATGTTTTTCCATCGCGAAGATATCAACTGGTTTAAACCTGTGCAACTTAGGACAAAATATGGACGCAGAGGTCACATTAAAGAACCTTTAGGTATACTAAAAATCCCAATTATTATAGCTATAATATTTAAGGAAGATACAAAAATTAATTAAAAATATTCTTCAATGGTTGTTATATTTATAGGTACACACGGTCATATGAAATGTGTATTTAATGGACAGTTGAAATCTCAAGACACTGTATTGATGTATTTATATAAGCGGGTATTTCCGAATTGGACTTACGAACCATTCTTAACTCAAATATCCGAAAAAGACGACAATATGAACATAGATTAATAATGAAAATGTCATCTAGATAATTATTATATAATTCAAGTTGATTCAGTAAGAGAACCTAAAAATTATCTGATTTATTTTTATTTTAGTTACGTATACTTATATATAAATAATGATATATATTGGGTTGGCAACTAAGTGATTGCGGATTTCAAATAAGAAGGAAACCAAAATCTGCAATCACTTAGTTGCCAACCAACCCAGTAGTAATATTTATTATATAGTATCCGTTCGGTTAAAAATTCAGATATTTTACTCAAATGTGAACAAGAGTCGACTAATAATTCGTAAAATCGGAACTTTTACGAATTGAAGAAGATAACTTTTTGCTATGCTTATTCCCAGAGTGCTGCGATTTTGCATGATATTAAAGAAAGTATCATCATGGTTTTTATCTTGTGTTAATGAGAAAATAGTAGAACGTTTGAAATCACGACAGTTCAGCGGGTATGCTGGTTTTTCTTCTACGAGTTCTAATAGGTTGTAAACTTTGAATACGGAAGTAACTCAATTGGCGTTCCCTCTCATGTTCTTCCATGCTAAGTTTGTTCAAAAGAATAGGGCCAGATATCATCATGACAATCGCACCGAGGGGCGCTAAAAAGACGATAGCAACTATCGATATTCTGACGACGTCGAGCGCCAATTCGATTTGTTCTGGATTTTCTTCAGTCGTGCGTTCATAGGTCATGGGTGCCAATGCAGCCTACGATATGTAATTATATTTTTCCTATCGATTTTTCAAAGTATAATAGCAATTATATACATAAGTCCAGCAGGAATAAAAAAATAAATATCAACCTGAAGAGTACCCTTGGGTATCCAAGCGAGAGCGATGAATGTTCTTTCCTTCCAGGAGAAGTGTGTCTTGATCGTTGATAAAATGGCAACAATGCAACGTGTCTATATAAGAAATATATTTTCGAAGATGAAAGAAAGATTTCGCTTTATTTACATTTATAAAGAAAAGCTTACCGTTAAACCAATGAGTATGCAAGTACAGTAAAGACCGAATCTTGATAAGGACCAATTCTTAAAATCGATATCGGCTCCGATGACACCAACCAAAACGGGCTGCATAAAATGCCAGAGAAAGTACATTGCTCTTCGAAGCGGCATTGTCTGTCGTGTAATAATAATTGTTTTTTGTTTCTCTCTCTCTTTCTCTCTCTCTCTTTTTCTCTTTTTCTCTTTTTTATTTATTTTTGCCTTTTTCTTATTATCTTTTTATATTCCGAATATTTTGGTAAAATAGTTAATATACGAGACGACGCACTTTCGAAGTAGCATGATCGACTATGAAGTAGTATGATAAAAGGTACTTACGTCGTAGGATACTGTCAATATTCGCCATCCCGTAATAGCTACGAAGGACATTATTATGATCGCAATATATGGTCCACCGGTGATGGGGAGTTTCAATGTCGACGAGGTACACATTAACGCAGCCAGTACCAAACTTGACAATCGGTACCAAGTTGCGTATTTCTAAATTTTTATGTACAATATGATCTATTTTAATCAATATGCTTTTTTGTTGAAATTACGCAAAATTATCAAAAAATTTGACAATATTTTCTGAATTGCCAATCTAAACACAATAATTTGTAAAAATATGATTCAAAACAAAATATTTTGATAGTAAAAAAAATTATTGTATCGAAATATCTCCTTTTTTCTGATATCTCGTAAATTAATATCTATCTATGCAGAAAAAAAGAACGTGCTATGTATGTTTTACGAATACTGTTTGGTTTATCAAACATAAACACATTTCTTGTATCGTCCGAACGTAAGTACTTACATGATTACGATGGGGGAAAAAGGCCAAAAAAGTACCAAGAAGAAGTCCGACCGAAACGCCTAGGATAAGGTCTCGTAGGCCACTAGGTATATACGACCACCACTTAGTTGGATGATCTTCTATAATGGAAACTACTTTTGTCTTATTCCGATTTATTTTGCGAACGAATAAAATAATTAAAACATTAAAATATTATAGACGAGTACGTTTTGCATAATATACCAAAATATATATATACATATCTTCTTTGTATATTAGGTATAATATTATAAAGTATTTGTTTACCGTCAAAGACGGTGGTGTAGAAAATGGAGAAAAGCGAGAGGATGTGTACGTCGTCGATGGAAGTAGCCGCATTAAGTAAAGAAGCTAATCCTTTATCTTCACCGTAACCATGTTCGGCCAGTGCTAGCATACAATTGACGGTAACAACAGGAGACATACAGGCAACGATTGTACTAAAATCGAAATTATCGGTTTGATTACCGTTATTGTATTCCTGATGAACAAAAAGGAAAGAGAAAAGAAACAAAATAGGTTGTCGTGGTATTTACCCGGTCATAAAGGCCCAGTTCCAAGGATAATTAAGGATATACTTTGCGCAAATAGCAAGGATTAACATTTCCATAGTACAAGGTAGGATGGCAAGAATCGCGACGAAGAGGGGATGTTGACGGATCGGCGTGGTAGTCATTTGAAGACCGGCACGTATCATGATGAAAGTCAAACAGAACGTTCGTATTTTCGCTAGTGTCCTGATGCCAAGTTCCCGTCTAATATCGTAGAAATTTATATTTCTCACGATTATACCAGCCAGGAGCATGCCGAAGACAGGTGGAAGGTTCATGTATGGAACATAAGCGAGCGTCCATCCAAGAAGATAAGAGAACACGACGATAACGAAAAGACCAAAGTAGCTGCCTTTGGGTAACATTGTTTCGCCGAGGAGAAAGAAGAGAGTCATCCAAGCCATCAAGATCATCGCTGTAACGCTCGTCAGCCAGAATAGGTTCATCCACGTTATTTCCATGTCAAAACATCTCAAGATCGAATCGGTCACAATGATCTTGCGCAATATCGGGTGGCAAAACGTCGCTCGGGAGCAGCAGCTATTATCGTCTTTTTCCTCATCTTCCTCGTTCCCTACTAAATGTACGTTTTTGTTGTATACTTCCTCTATATTCATTTCTAAAACTAGTTATATCCTTTTCTGATATTTCGATAGAACCAACACTGATTATTTATTTGTCCATTAATATTCAAAATTTTACAAAAGAGAAAGACATTTTCATTAAATACATGAAAAATATTTAATGCACGATGGCTATATATTTTCATCGAAAGCGAAGGTTGGCTTATGCCAAAAGAATTTAATTCCAGTTTAATCAACCGATTTATGTAGTATTCTACTGCTTAAAGTTAGTCACTTTTTAATAGGAGAGAAACGAGGCTATCACAAAATTTAAAAAATGATTTCGATGAGAAGATACGCGTCGTAAATGTTAAAATCGTGAATATCGAAACACTCGATGTTAGCTTACACGATGTTTTACCTATTTCTAACAATTTTGAGAAGCTCTTCGGTAGATACAAGAAATGTGATTCTTCAATAGATTTTTAAAATGTTAGCTTAGATTTTTAACGTCATTTCATTGCAAGGAAACGCGAGTAGAGCTAAAAAGATGTTAATATGCCAATAATTATTGATAAAAGTATCAAATATCGATAAATTATTATGTGATAAAATTAATATCTTAGTACATATTAGTACAATAGTTTATTTACGGTATCGATATTTATTGATAAAATCGATATTATAATTTTACGTACGATCGTTTTTTTCCTTTGATAACTATATCCCTATGGGACGTAACTTCATTGACGTTTTTATTCATGTGCGTGGCGTTTGTTAGTCTCGTCATTTTTTGAAAAATTATTTTATTATAGAAAACAGTGAAAGGTAGGCGACAATCCATTGATAATCCAGCTGGCGTCAACTTTTTTTCCAAGGCGTTTGTAGGTCGCCATCAGTACTCACCCCGAAGATTCTAAGAGACTTCTGCGCCCTCTTGCAGACCGTTTATTCTAGCCAACCTCTTTCTCCTTCGGTGCGTTTTGCGCGAGAGAATATTCAGTTTGTGAGCAGTGCTCGTCACGATCGTGTTGAAATTTTTATTTTGAGTGCATTGCTTCAAGAATATACACTGCGTTCTGTGGACGAGTAGATTTTGAAATTTTCTTTCCTTTTTTCTTTTTTATTTTCAACAATACAACTGGTGTTAAAACAATCTTTACCTCTTACCCTCCTCGTCTTTCTCTTTTTCGGCCGCGTTCGATATCCTTGGATATGTTCTGCTCATGTTTCGTCTTGTGGACGAGGTCAGTACGGTTCTTCTTCTGTATGTCTCTTTCTCGCAGAATAATTTTTCCATGCTTTTTTCATCTAATTTTTTTTGTTTTTTCTATCGTACTTAGCTATATTTACGTCTTTTTCGATAGGATGTTCGACTTTAACCCATATGGTTTTTATGGTTTCGATTATTGATCCTTAAAAGAATTCCTAAGAGAACTAGGAAAAGCACAGTAGTTTTGTTAGTATTTTATCTTTATATATGTTTCTTGTACTTTCGAGGCTGAATGTATTTATTTATTTCCGAACTGAATATATATATTTCACTTATTTATCATTGTTTTTATATTTTTTGATATTCGGTTGATAGTTACAAATTCCTCCCAAGTTAATTAATAATTATGACAAATTCCTTTTTTTTATTTCGTTGACACAAATATTAGACATCATAATAAGTTGAAAGGATATCCTTACAGTTACGTATCAACAAGATCACGTGCGTATATTTTGTGATGTTTAAGGAAATTTTATCTTGAAAATACTATTTACCATCGCGTATTCTCTGTCCACATTTATAGTGTGTTATATTTTAGTATATATATATACGATAGAAATCTTTGTTATGATAATATTTAACTCGTTTGCAGAGAATTAAAGAAGCTATCAGGGAAAAATGGTTGAGCACAAATTCGCAACTTTTTTTAAAAATGTTTACATACTTATAAACAAGAAAAACGATTGGGTATTCTTATTGAAATGTCTCATCCTGTGTTAATCTAGTGATTATATATTTTTCAAAGAATTTCTATTAGATGTATTTACCTATCTATACTATTATATAAATAAATATATATTGTATATAAAAATTATCTGGATTAAAGCGCGTAAAAATTTGGCAAGAGATTGAGAAAGTTAAAGGAAATTCAAAAAAGAGAAGAAGAGAAATAAAAAAATGCAAGTAATAGTTGATTAAATAGAATATCCCATGAAAAAGATGATCGAGAAAGTATTGAAGATAAGATCGAAACCACTTCATTTTCTTTATTATCAAGATAACATACAAGGTCTTTGAACTTTACCAGCGCACGATAGAGACGGTGGCTATTGAATTTATATCTTGCTAGGAAAATAGCACTATTCGAAAATGAATATCTATTTTGGCTGTTGAAACGAAGCACTCTGGGTTTACGATAGATGGTTGGTCGTCAAGTGGATTTAAGGTTATTGAACTTGTTCATTGATCCCTCTCGAAGCAATGGCACATTCACCTGTATAGCCATCGGAACGCATCCCCGCATGGGGCGCGCAATACCTCGAGAACTTCTTGCTCTTCCATTGTACCTACGAGTATCTTTTGCTTGATTGCAACGAAAATCTGATAACCATTTTCGTCCTTCTTTTTTCTTTCGAGAACAAATGTTTTTAACTCTCATTGGAAGTATGTATTTAAAATGATTATACGATTTCTATATTATTTCATCAGTGAGAAACAGAAAGAGAAAGGGAATACATAAATAGATTAAATCAAAGAAAATATACTTTTGTAAAAATGCAGAATAAAGCTGAGCTCTAATTCAGTGCTTCTCGATATTCTTATTATTTATGAAGCGAACTTTATCAAATCTACGGAACTTTGTGGAGATACCTCAATGTAAAAATGAAACACTTCCTTTTAGAATGATATGCCAACTGTGCAAATATTATTCAATAGATTCCGATCAATTCGATATATTGAGTAAAAAGTTTACGTGCCGTTTGTGAAATGAAATGTTTTAAGAACTGATGCAGATGAGCGCATATTTTGAATGTAGCAATATATATGAACATTAGACATCATACGTTATTGCAAGCGACATTGCATCGTAATTGTTTGCGTTGCCCTGCTGGAACGTACGACAACGTAGAATTTTGACGTCACTGCACTGTTGCGGCAATATAAAGAAATAAATATGAAACATGAATTTTCCAGATATTTAGACCTTTTTCATCGAAATTATTCAAACATTTTTGACGAATAGCCATTTAGGGTGCTCTCTTTTTATTTTTATCGCGATAATATTCGTTTATAACATTCAAATTACGTGAAATTTTTTAATTTCTCTAATTAGAAGTTTAGTATTAATTTCGTCGGCTATGATATTTTGTGCTGAGTGTCGCACAAGTGTACTTTACGATACGTTTCTTTGTACTACTGCAACAGTGTGGTGACACCAAAATCTACGTTGCTATCCGTTCCTGCAGGATAACGCAGACACCTGCGTCGATGGAGTATCCTTTGTGGCAATGTGGTGGCATCACATGCTCGTGTGCATTGCTACATTCAAAATATATGTCCGTTGCAATGTACGTTTGACGAACGACAAAATACCGTGCGTTACTTGCTGATCGTTTGCCGGACCCACCGATTCTATAGTCGCGTCCAGATTTGCAATAATATTGTATTCGATAGCCGCAATGTTTGACATTTAACACATCGATGTGACAAAGAAAATATTATAGAGATTTATATCGTAGTCATTGTGATTCATGTCATCATTTTACTAATTCTATTGATGATAATTTGAGGTTCTCACGAATATCATACCAATAAAGATATACATACATCACATCTCGAGTAGACGTTTTTATCTTCTTTGTTCTTTTGTTTTTTATTTGTAGATATTCTCTCAGTCAGAAAGCTCATTGTTTCTGTTCAGCTTATCTAACCAAAGATACTTCATATTCGTAAAATCGGAAGCGAAGTCGATGGAAATTGTTGAAAATAGTTCAAATCATTTGTTATCGCGAGAAACTATCGGATTCATTTCTATTTTTTGCGAGAACTTGACTCCGCTGCTTTATTTGTTTTAATCGATTATATATTAATCGATATTATATAGTCAATAAAACATCTTTCACCATGGTGTCGTAATCTGAGACAGAACAATTGGATTCCTAATGACAGACATTCAATATAGAAGGCTAATAGTAAGAACAGATAATGGTTGATGCCACCAGGACGTCTTATAGGTCGACATACGAGAAATCTTCCTCTTTATCTTTCTCTTTTTCTTTCTTGTTCTTTTCTTTCATTTCTATAAAATTTTCAAAATATTAGATTAAATAATTTATCGTAAAAACGAACATATTGTCGCTCGTATGACTTAAGTGGCTTTCTTTTTGAAAAGAATTTTTCAATTTCTTTTCTTTGTGCTATAATTTTTTTTACATTTTGAAAACATTAAAAAAATTGAAAAAGAGACAAAAGAAAGAGTAAACAACTTGTGATCTTTTGTAACTATTAATACGATAATATTCTTTTATTATTTTTTTCGATTATTGTTATATATACATATATATATACATATACATATACACATATATATATATATATATATATGTATATATATATATATTTATTTATTTATTTATTTCTACTAATTATCCTTAAAGTTATTTATCACCCTTAATTTTATAATGGTTTACGTCAGCAATAAGTACAGGCAAAACTGAATTAGATCAACAAGATCTCATTTTAAAGATGAAATTTTAAGCGAGTTTAATTCGGCTTTTCCGAATTTTTGAATCTGTAGTTCTATTCTCTTTGGAAAAAATTGTGAAAAAATGTTGTTTTTCCGAGTTTAGTTCATGTCAAAAATAAAGCTTTTTTAAAACTTCGTAAAAGTTATTCCTTCATTAAATTTTCATTTTTAAAATAAGATCTTTTCCATCAAAATTGGTTAAGAATTAGGCCTGGATTCAGTATTATCGTTAGTTCCATATAAGTGCTCCTTGAAATTTCATTATTGCTT